GTCAAAGTGCCGAAATATTGCACTTTGCAATGTGCAGTAAACAAGAGGCGTGGCCACGTCTACACGACAGGAGGCGTGGCCACGCGTACAGGACTGCGTCGCGCAGAAGACTGGAGGCGGGGCCACGCGTACAGAACTGGACCGCGTATGCGCAGTAGAATTGACATAGGCGGTGTATGTACGTATCGGAATGCTGACACAAAGTAATTAATTACGCGTTACCCGAATATTATTTATGAACTTTTATGATCAAACCATGTAAATAGTGCATCGCTGAACATTCTTGAATCATAAAAGTGCACAAAATATATGCAGAAAACGTGTAATTAATTATTCAAAATGACCTCGTATATACCGCTTGTCACCGTGGCTGGCCTTAGGTTATTAGTCAATAACTAATTAATTTCATTAAAAATCTGAACAAATATGATACGAGAGAGTAGCTGAGGGATCACTGAACATTCTTTAATAATGAAAGTGCATAAATTGTGTTTAGAAAATGTGTTATTAATTATTTGAAATTAGCTCATGCGTACGATGTATTCCGCCGACTTCGTGTTGGATATAAATGAATAATTAATTATTTACAATAAAAATCTGAACAATTGTGATATGAGTAAGTAGCTGAGGAATCACTGAACATTCAGTAACATAAGGGGGCGTTCAGATTAGGCAAGTGCCCGTCAAATTAGCCTAATGTGAATGACATTTCGTGAAGGTTCCACGCATCGCTGCTAGATGGCGCTGCGTCGAACCTGCGTAAGGGGGCGTTCAGATTAGACGAGTACAGGTCACAGTAGCCTGATGTGAACGACAATAATATAGTAGTACGTGTTCTCTTTCGAATATGTAAATTTTTATTCTGTGGGTTTGTTAGGTAAGAATAAATGCACAATGATTGTTGATAAATTTTTCTTTATTTTCACCACTATTCACACAGTACATAACTTAATAAAACTTACTGTTAAATCGTTTAATTACTAACTTGTGGAAGGCTCGTGCTATGCACGGGGAACTAATCAGTTAAATTTGACCCCCTGCACAGTCTTAAACCGTAGAAAATAGATATGCGCAGTATATTTTTGACAAAGAAAGTAATGAAAGAAAAAGTAGTCGACAATGATGGCGCATTTAGTTTTTATGTATCCCTTAAAAAGTGTCCGTTAATAAGGATTTTACTGTATTATCATTGTAAGAGTACACATATAATATTTTTCTGGCTTGTTTTCGAGCATGCGTACAACGTCCCAGCGTAGCTCACGGACATGTTTCTGCGTTATAATATGATTTCGATTTTGCAAGGACGTTATATTACTATATTTTTATATACAGGTACTATATTTTTATAATAACAGTTAGACGCTAACAATAATAATAATACTATCGTACGGAATCGGAAGAACGCTTCAATTAGACCGATCGAGACTGATCGTTAATCAGGGATCGCTTCCCTCCTTTTTCCCTCGTTCCGTTGACTCTGGCTCGAAGAACTTCTGTCACGCATTCTCAGGACCTGTAAAATTTCATCGTGATTTCATCGTGATTTCATCGTGACGGATCGGATGCTCGTGCTGCGAAGAAGGAACACGCGTGGAACATGGACGTGTCGTCTTACCTATGAAACTTAGCAAGACGGGCAGAAATATTAAGCCATGAACAGCGCCAAAAATCACGATACCCAAATACATCCTGAAATAAAAGACTTGGATGATTTGAGTTTTGGAGAATGCCAATACCAGAATTCCGATAATTTTCGTCAACGTGATACCGGAGAAAACCTGAAAGAAAATGGAACCGCGTGAAACGAGAGCAACAGTTGGTTGGACACGCGCTCGCTTACCGAACTTCCCATTTTATTCAGGATTTCGGACACACGCTCGATTCTAGTACTCGACGTAGATTTCAAGTAAGAATGTATCATGTGACTGGAAAACTCCACCGATATGCCGGATGCCTGCAACACGAACGGAAGAAACGTAACGAACGTAAGAACGTTTATTATCGTCCGAACGTACCATTACCAAATTGACGAGAGACACCGCGTTCAGTTCGATGTTCCACCAATACATGAGACCACCTATGTTTACGACGATCATGAATACCGTGAGCACCACCGTTATCGCCGAAAACAGCGAGAATCCCGTGAAAAGGGTGGTCGTCAGGAAAATGATGCAGAGAGACAGACCCAAGGAGGATAACGTTTCTCGCCAAATTGTCAGGTATTGCTCGTAATATACGTAAAAGACGCTGCAAAGGAATTGCTTTAGTCCGACGATCAGTGTCTGTAGAATTTCTGTACTTCCGAACGTACAGAGCGACGCACCTGTATGGAAACACGGTTATGCTCTGGTCGGTTAATCGATTCTCGTTTATCATCCTCGTAATGTTGTCGGCGATCGTTCGAGACGATTTCAGCGATTCGTACCAATCGCTCGACTTTTTCATCGGAGTATGATATCCCATGAAATAGCTGTCGCCGACATCCGTTAGCCCGTGTTCATCGACGTACAAATTAATTCCCTGTAAGTTGGCGAAACGCGTGGTTACGATTCGGATATAGGATACGTGGCTCGTAGGTAAACGAATCTTACGTCCAGGTAGGAGGCTCGTCCAGCTTTCGCGCAAGTCTCGTCCGGAATGTCTTGCAGGAAGTACGGCAAATATTTGCGGAAACTGTATTCGTTCGGTCGAGAACCGTCTAAACCGACGTCGCATGGATCGCAAGTATCTGTAATAACGGACATTTATCGAGCAACCGGTAAATAGAAAAGTTGACTAAACTCGAAGCTTACCTTTCGTATGCGGACAAAAGGACTGATTGTTCCGGAAGAATTTACAGCAACCGTCGATCCCTGACCAATCTATGTAATCGTCTATCCAAGACGAAGAGGATTTCGACAAGTACGATCTGTAATGAATCGGCAAAGTATAAGGGGTGGGCCGTAGAGAAAAGAAAAGGAGAAAATATTGTACGAACGTGTCGGGTTGTTTGGATGCCGAATGGATCTGCGTATAAAGGGAATCGGTGTTGCATCCTTGACCGCCGCAAATTACGTTTTGAACGTTCCTGCGGCTATAGTTGAGACCAGGAGTGACCACGAAGTAGACGGGCGCACCCATCGACAATAGATCTTCCATAAACTAGAATCAGGTCGATTTCTATTCTATCGTTTTCGCGACAGCGTATCTCGATAATATTACCTGAAAATATTTTAAGACGTAAGAATCTTCGGGCATCGAGAGCTTTTGATCCAAACCGATAGATATGTTTGGTACGAGCACGAGGTGTGCGACGAGAGCGACAAAGAATACGACCAATACGGTTATTCTAACCGGCGTTTTCATCAGGCACGGCGTATAAAATCGCTGAAATATCGCGTGCACCAATCCAAAGTCCTCGTCTTCGGTGGTATCCTGTTTATTCGTTTTCACGCAGCAAAACAAATCCGAAAGATTGTTCTGAAACGATTCGTTAAAGTTTCAAGCGACGAGATTCGTTAACGAGCATTCGTTAATTTTCTTACCTCGAATCGTTGCTCGTCCAGTGCCATCAGACTAACGAAAGCCGTCATTTGTAGAAGGAAATTTATGAAAATTGACAAGGAGGCGTAGAGGGAAAAGGTGTTTACCGCCGGCATCGAGGACAACGTTCCTGCAAGCGTTTCAGAAAAATGACACGACTCTACCGACTAGTCGATTAAACTGCGTCTATTAGTAGATTAAATTACGACTATTACCGATCAGGAAACAGAGGCATTCGGAAGTACTGGTAAGCAACATCGATGGGCCAACTTTTGCCATGATTCTTCCGATATGATCAGGTATCGATTCTTGGGCACGTTTCGGATTTCTTTCGTGAGTTTGAACCAAAATAAATATATTGTCCACTCCCACGGCCAATACCAAGAACGGGATTACCTAGAACGGTGTTATATAACGGGGTTATATAACGGGGTAGAGAAGACTAGGGAATAAAGAGAAGAGAGGCTTACCTCGATCGTAAGCAGACTGGTGGGTACTCCGATGTAGCCGAACACGCCGATGGAAGAAGCTACGGAGGCTATTACTATCACCACTCCGCCGATGCTGATCATCATTTTACTGTTGGCCTAAAATCGTATTTTACAGATATAATAGATTCTGAGACGTATAACTTACGGGATATATGTATAACTTACGAGATATTCTTTGATAGAATATTTCAGCTTGCTGAGCGCGAACGCGACGTAAACGAACATGACGACGTAGCTGTAAAGCACCGTCGACGTTTCGGCCTTCGACGATCGTTCCAACTCGTCTTGTATCGACTTTTCCGTGGTATAGGCTACGTCCATAAATTCCGGCCGTTCGTTCGCGTTCCATTCTTTCATGAAATCGATGAATCTGACGAACAGAATATTTCTTATTCTCTATTCCTAACAGAATACTAGCAGAATCCTAACAGTATAGGTGGTTGTTGTCGGTTAAAGAAGAACCGGTTTATTTCCTCTCGTACCGTTGTTCCCATTTGTGCGTCGATTCGAGCACCGATTCGTTTAGCGAGTTTTTCACCAGAAACGATAATATCAGTCCCGTCGCTTCGATGTAATCGTTCGAGTCGTAATTGAATTCGTTTTCTCGGAGAAATCCTCCGTAGGCTAACGCGGGCAGAACAGGTCCCTTGTACGGCGCCAAACATCCGGGATTGAACGGATTCCTGTGAGGCCGTGGAAAATTCTCTCTATCGTTATACGCGTTAGGCATATTACCAAAGCAGAAAAGAGTATACTTACTGGGCGCACGCGTACAGTTGATCCAAATAATTGATTTCGTAGGAATCGAACTGAACCGTTTGGTTGAAACGATCGAGATCGTTTTGAAAATATCCCCACACGCTTTGGACCGTGCACAAGTCGAGAGTAACGGGTCCGGTAAAGTCGCTTCGAACCGGAGCGTAACATATACGCTCCAAGCCTTCTCCGTCCTCTTGTCCAAGCTGTAACGATCGAGAAATATGAAATAAAAGGACCACGGTTGTTCGACGGAAAGGGAACACTTACTCGAAGCACCTTGTTTTGCAGATCGTAGACTGCCAGTAAAAATTCCTTGTTAAAGACTGGGCCGAATTCGAGGACACCGCTCGACGTGTTGTGAACTACCTGAAATCGGACACGATTCGAACGTTTCGCGTCTAACGAGAAAACTCGTTATTATTTTACCTTGTTCAGTCCGACGGATTTCACGTAAATCTGTTCGGTTCTATAGAAAGGTTGAAAATGCGAGTCGAAGTAATCTTTTTCGAGCCTGGCTCTGCTGGTTGGCGCCGCCCAAATTTCGATCGGATCGCTCGTTATAGTCAGGTACTGGATTCCGTAGCTCAATCCCAGCAACACGTACGAAGACGCGAATAATACAACGACCGGATATTTCGCGAACGCTGTTAGACGCGCATCGAAATTGTGTCGGTATTAGAGAAATCGGTATCACACAGGCTCCTGTCGAATCGATCGAATTCGTACCTTTTCCCCAAGCAGCAAAAAATACGTGAAACGCGTCGTGAAATTTTGTCCAGGGAAGAAAGTACCATTTTGCCCGATGTCGCTCGACCGATCGCTCTCGTTCGTCGTCGTTCTTTGCCTGCTTCTTCTCGGGAACGTCTGTAACTTTTTTCCAATTACGATCCGAAAATCTTGCTCCCGGTCTTCGAGTATCGCCAATGAAATAGACAACGTACCGAAATGCGATGTTCTTTGCGAAATTACATAAGCTGCTGTCGCGGATGCGACGAAAAGGATAGCCAGAATTCCCGCTACTATTCCGTAACCGCTGTATCCGAAAATGAGGAAACCAGAATCGAGTTCCAATAACTGGAGGAAGGGGCAGGCCGCAGGACAATCGACGCAGCTGCACGCTAACGAATCCTGTCGACACGTTTTCGTTCTACATTCTACAGCTACGTATTCTGTACGTTATACAGATAGATGGTAGGGTTGAACTTACGTCGTACGATTCGTTGCACGCTTTCGCCGTCTTGTTCCACAATTCCAGCGAGCCGTTCGGGGAATGCTTGTAAATCATTCGAAAACTTATGAACGTGTTAGCGTCGGGATCGCCTTGATACTCGTACCACCTGTAAGCATCGAGCATTTTTCCTTCGATCCCTCGATTTTCCTCGATTATCCTCGATTACAAAGGTCGATTAGAAAAGTTTTAACTTACAATTTTGGCGTACATCGACTGGCTCCGTGCTCACCGCAAGCCAAATCCATGGCTAACACGCCGCTCGTTGGATTAACGACACCCTTGCAGGAATCGAAAGTATCGTTCATGTACTGTTCATCGATATATACCTAAAACGGGTGTAAAACTTTGAAGAAATCTACAATTTATGCGTTGAACAGAGTGCTCGATATTATCTTTACCGGCGTCGACGTCGAAGAAAATCCCTCGGCAATCTCGGTCGGTATCTTACCTCGATTTCTCTCACGTATTCTTTGCCTTCCGAATTTTCCTCGGTCTTCGTCACTCGCAGAAATCGACTCTGTTCGGGGCTACAGCTTAAATCGCATATCAGTTTATAGAAATTTTTTACGCACGTTGGGCATCTGCCAAAGATACCTTCGGCCATGTTCAATTGCGTAACTAAATTGTCAATATTATCGGCGTCGCAACACAATGCCGGTCCGTTCGGATCTGAAACATTCGTGCTTACGCGTTAAGTAGGCCTACAGAGGAGAACGCGGTTCGAAACGGAGGAATTGTCGCGTCGAGCAGGAAGAAACGAACGAGGAAAGGGAAGAAGATGATAGGCCCAAGAAGAAAGCTTACCCGTATTTTCGAAATATTGCGGACATTTAGCGCGCAAACGCTGTTGCGCTGTCAAATTGTTGATGAGCTGAGGTGGGCCGTCGTAAGCGCACGTTAGATGCACGTTGCCCGATACACCACAGTCTCCGTACCATATGCAAGCGTATTTTTCCTCGGCATTCGTCAACGTAAACGCTTGGTAGAGCGCGAGCGACAACAACGCGACGATATACGTTCCACCGCGGCGATTCATTTTACCGATGCTATTCTATACCGTTGCAGAGTCTCGTTCGTTTTCTTCGCCCTCGTACGACGTACGAGTACATCGGAGTACGGTAACTCGGGTATTTCTATCGATTCGACCGATTCCAGACAACGATCGTTATCTTAGGCCTTCTCGTAGACTAGTTCGAAACGTATCGAGTTCTCGATCGCCACGACTGCCTGAGATCGTCCTTCCGAGCAATTACGCGATCGGTCGTCGAATCGACCGTCCACAATTTCTTCGATCAAACGATACCTGTTATCGCGTTATCGAATAATTGTCACAAGGTATGAAACGGAAGAAAAAAAACTGGCCCTGACGCATGATCACGATATCATTGTCCGCTAGATCATTCGTGCTGTGCACACCTGCGGCTTATCGGTATCTACCTCGAACTCGATTACGAAAGAAGCGAAATTAAATGAAATCTTGTTTGTCTATCTTTCTTCTACTATTGCTTTTTTCAAAAACTTTGCGTTCTCGCAGGATTATCCGGGTTTTACGCCGATAGCGATACAGAGTTTGTTTCGTCTTAATGGATGGACGTACCGGAATGTGGTTGGAAATCATATTTCGTATTGGATAATCATATTTTAATGAATCATTTTGATGATCGTACAAACGGATTAGTTTGAAAGGTTTTCGCAAAACCGAGGAACAACAACGACGAAAGCAGAAACGTAGTCGCAATTACGGAATAGTAATTTGAAAGAAACGAACGAGCAGATTGGTCGACTGGCGCGCGGCGTTCCAGCCCCAAGTGGTACGATACGCGCGACGACATCGACGAAAGGAAAAGAACACGAAAATATTCGTTACATCGTTACTTTATTCTAATTTTTTTCTTCGCTTTAACGTAATCACCTTGAAACTTCGTCCCATCTTCCTTCGAATTTATACGCTATTCCCGCTTATATCGTAGAGTTCTATCGACCATCTAAAATTTTTGCGTTCACGGACACGCAAAGGGTCTGTTTTTCTTTTTTTTTTCTTTTTTTCTTTTTTTCTCTTTCGTCACGATCTTTCAACAGAGCGCGCGCGCGCACGCACGCACGCACGCATTCTCGCTGTCTCTCACGACCATTCTCTCTCTCTCGTTCTCTCTGTCTCAGACACACGCTCTAACCACTTTCTCGTTCCATTTTCTTTCGTTTCGGATTTCTTTCGGTATATTCGATTTTCCCTTTTCTCGATATAATCGGTGCCCGCAACGATACCGAAATTGTCATCGTCATAATTTAAGTATATTACGTTCAACGGTAGCGATAAAGTTTATATTAATAAAATTTGTGGAGAGTGTCAATAATTATATATATAATATAGATGATAAACATTCGACGAATCACTGCAACCGGGGCGAAAAATATGAAACTCGTCGCTAGGCCAACTATTGGGATACGTCTCCGAGCTAGAGTGGCACGATCGCTTTCAGTTTCTCTCGATCGTTCGCATCAAGCAGCCAACAAACGTGTTGTTTTTTTTTTTTTCTTTTTCCGAAACGTCTCGATACGCTGTGCCTATGTATGTACGCGATATAACTAGAATCTTATCGCGCGTCTATCCGCGTTACTTCCGTTATTAACAGCGCGATCAAAATCGTTGTCCCGATCTTTCACCGTGTGATTTTCGCTCGCTCTCCTTTATTCCTCCGCTTACACTCTCCGTTAGTTAAAAGAGGAAAAATGCCGATCTGAATTGTTCGTTGATTGTCAGATAGGAGTGAACCTGTAAGTGCACGTAACGTCGAAAACGTTGTAAATTATTCGATGATCGTTGAAAATAAATCGCTTAGATCGAAACGCGGCGTCCGTCTCGTCGAATCCGAATGTATTAAATCGAATATACATAGAACTCATGTTCCTTTCGTTTCGTTGCGTTGCGTTGCGTCGCGTTTCCGTCGAAAATAGTATCGCGCGATCGGAAAACGAGTTGCCAGCGAAAAGGAGAAGCATATTGGAAAAGTAAGTAACTTTGGCTGTAGAAAAAAGAAAAATTTGACTCTTGCTCGGAGGCATGCCTCGACAGAATTTATACGATAAAATTGTTATACGCACGAGCGCGCGCGTACACCCACTATTAGCACGCGCACGCGTGCGCTCGTCCACGCGCGCATTCGTACACTCGCGTTATCTTAAACTTTACACTTTATACGTACATTATACGTACATTAACCAACGATGCATCGATGTGCGCGCTCGCTCGCTCCGGTGCGCGCGCGGTGCGCGTGTAAACGCTTCTGTCACTACGTTACGCGTACGCGTATACGTATACGTAGTAGATGATACGGTAATTCGAGCAACGAAAGGTTCTCCGGAAATTTCTTAATTCTCACGTGCGACATCTATAGTAACCGGTATGTAGGTATCTCGTTATTTTTCTTCCGCTTTTATACGTTAATCGATATCTTACTACGTACGTATTTAGCGTATATGCGCGCGTGTGCGATCCTGCGCTCCTACGTGTAATCGTATATTTAGCGTGTACACAGGCGACAGGTGTGCGCATATACGTACATGTATGTACATATAGGGTGATCGAATCAGGAAACGAAGAACGCGTTACGAGCGTGAGCGTACGCGAACGCGTCGTGCCACGGCCACCAACGAATTTCCTTTCGATCTCGCGATCCGACGCGTCGACTTTCCAACTGTTTTCTAACCGGAATCGGTTTATCGAATGATAAACTTCGCCGTACTCCGCCGAGCACGCCGTCGCACCACGGATCGTTTCTCTTTCGATCGGTCAACTTGTCGCGGTAACGCGGTAAGTCGTTTAGAAGATTGTGCACCGAGTAACCGCGATACTGTCGGATGTTTCGAAGATCGAACGATCGAAGAGGAATTTTATTAGTATCGTTCGATTCTCGCTGGTGGCTTCGCGGGTGATCCGAAGGTGCGCGCCGATCACGGTTACGCGAAGAACGCGTACATGTATATATCGCGAACAGGGGAAAAGTCTGTTAGCGCGGTTGGATTTGCTCGTTAACGCGGTATCGTTGTCGACTGAAATTCATCGTTTCTTTCGAACGAATCGTTATACGAACCGTCACCGTCACCGCTCGTCGATCGTTAAATCTGTCACGGTACAAGCGGATGGATCGATGCGCCACCTTTCACCTACTACTCGATTCGCGTACTACTTAACTCGAGTAATTTGCACTCTCGTACAAATGTCCAGTAAACGGGCTAAGAAAACTCAGGAACTTTGCGCGCGATCGATCATGCAGTTCGATAAATATAGAATATAGATAAACGCCTAATTTACCAATGATCCGACGACACTTTCGACGATGATGACGACGGCGACGCGATCGATCCAAGTGTCCGTAGACACTGTCGACGACATCGCGATCTATGCATTTTGCTCGTTCACGTTCGCGATGCTAGGATCGCGCGACGAACATCTTCGATTCAACGAGTATCCTTTTTTCGCGTCGCAACATGAAAACACTCTCGAACACGTGCGATTCAAGCTTTTACCTTTTCGATTCGTTACCGTATTCAGTAAAGCACTCGGTAACTCAGAAGTACTCCGATCGTACTTCTTTCCACGCGTTTCTATTTTTTCCTTTTCTCCCTTTCGCGTCGTCTTCTCTTTCTTTTTCGTTCGAACGCGATTCAATTTTGATGCGCGCGCGCGCGATACCGTTTATTCGCGAATATATCTTGCCGTCGTCCGATGTCCATTCGCTTTCGCGCGGCGATCCATTCGGAACGATTATCGGAAAATTACACGCATACATACATGTAGGTAAGATGCGCGTACGTGAAACGATTCCAAACGATCGTTAGAAACATCCGGAAAGAAAAGCGTCTGTAAGAAAAACTGACGATAAAAGAAAGAAAACGAGGAAGAAAGAAAGAAGCACGCACGCGCGCACATACACGGTACGTACTATTCCGTTACTCGCTGCAAATATTCGTCCATGTATATAAATAGACGAATATATACACATATATGCATATATAGATATAAGTATTACCGATATAGATATACTTTCTGTTTTCTAATTTACAAATATCGATCGGTCAGTATCGTATTTACTTATGTTAGCGATACATTGTTCGAAACGAGTATTCTTAGTTTCCGTCGTATTAATTTAGCCGATGTTTCGACGATATTCCACACGAACGTCCGTCCCGCTGCTCTAATCGTACCTTTTCCTAAACGTGGCTGCTGTTTCTCTAACGTCGCGATTTTCTCGCGAAAGTTCCCGCTTTCTTCTTGTTACCCTCATTATCGTCGTTCAGCATCGCCGTCACCGTACCCTTAGCCTTAGCCGCCGCCACCGCGATACTTGATCAAGGACAGACACGATCGAGACTGTACTTTCGGACTCGACATTCTAATCACTAGTCGTATCTTGAACAACATTAAAAATAAAATTTCCTATAACGACGAGAATGTTCGAATCCGAAAGGCGATTAACGTAGCGGGCATGTGGAAGATCGTCTTCCTCGATAGGATGCGCGTATGTACATATGTAGGTATACGCATACGCATCTATTACCGCATCTACGTATACGTGCATATATCCGCGTATGCACGGATACGCAACGCGCGCCTCTTTACATCCATAAAACATACATACATAGGTTCGCGTAATCATTTCGGAAGATCGCGACTATCGACGCACGCGCGCGCATAACACTTTTTATTAAACTAACTTATTTATAATTAGACTCTTATATAATCTCTAAGTTTAATCGTTACGTCGTCGTGTCCTTTCTTCGACGTTTTACACGTCTCGTCTCGATTTATCACCGACACAATGGTTACGACGTTAGAATCGCAACGACGAATGTAACGACAACGACGACGATGGTGAGGTAAGAAGGATGAGCAAAGTAACGGAGGTGGTAATGAAAGGAACGAAGATGACGAAATGCCAACGACGATACGACGGTACCGATAGTACCCAAGAGGACTAGAGAGAAACGATGCCGATAAAGAAAGTAATAACGACAAGTGACGATCAGTGACAATGATCACGATGACGGTGATGGTGATGGCAAAAATGACAGCTACTGGTCATCGGTAATTATTACCGAGCAGCAGTAATCGCGATAATAAATAAAACGACGACGAAATGTAATGACGGTAACGATGATAACAACGACGGAGGAGTATGCAGCAACGATAAAGAAGTTTAAGAATCGCGGATAACTAACGATAGAAACGAAGATTGCCGATGACGTCGAAGGTCGGTGATGGTTATAACTGTGACGACGACGACAATAATGACGCTATCGGTAATATCAATGTTACATTATGTACAGAGTTTATTAGGTTTTATCGTCGCATTGCCGTCCACGCAGAAAAAAAATACGACAAAATTGGACCATAAGAATCTAGCGAAAACGAACAATCGATTTTCTAATCGCGAATAAACATCTAAGAAAAGAAGAGCGCGTGTCTCGCGACACCACGATTCCGTCGGACTGGAATGAACTTGAGACGAATATCGCGTGATGGTAAATACTATGATAACAACAACAACGGTAACAATCGCAACAATAATAGTAATAATAGTAATTAATAGTAATTAATAGTAATTAATAGTAATAATAATAGTAATAATAATAATCACAAGAACGGTAGAGTAGTAGGCATAAAAAAAAGCGAAATGATGGTACACCGCAATATAATCCACGATCGTTGTGGCACGCTTTCTGTTCGATGCTTATTACTTCTTATTGTTAGAAACGAATCGTTATTCCTCGGCGAACGTAGTTAAACGTAATTGTTCGAATCGTCTTCTTTGTTCGATTTCACGGTAGCAACGATCGAAACGTTTTCTCTCTTTCTCTTCGTCGAAACTGATTCCCATTAAAAACAAAGTTCTCTTTCTTCCTCGAATTTCTCTCCTGTTAAACAATTGAATCGCCCGTTGTATATAGAAAGCAGGAGTGACAATGGCGATGGTAACTGTGACGATGAGGTTGAGGACCAAAACGGGGATAAGGACTTGGATCCTTGGATAAGGAGGAGGACGACGACGATGATGATGATGATGATGATGATGATGGGAATGATGACGATAATAGTAAGTGGCACGTTCGTTAACGTAGCTTTTGGAAGACGAAACGAATGAGAACGAGAGTACAAGGATGGAAACACAGCGTTAAAACGTTCCACGTGGGCGGCAAGCGCGCTGTATCTTTACGCGATAATCGAATAGTTGTTTGGTTTATTTGACGATTTTTAAACTTAATTCGATACTTTGGTAATCGGTTAACATCTATTTAACTTAAACGTGGTTATTACAGTTAGATTGTTGAGCACAATTATTGATTTCTATCAGAGACTTTCGGGATGCGCTATGGGACGACGTTATGTCTCCAAACTCGCTGGCCGACTTACCCTTACGCGGCAACGTCGTTGACTCTCCTAACGAAGGTAGTTCCCGTGGTTTCCAAATCGGCGAACCTTCCCGGACAATACAACGTAAACGTTACGTTTACGAATATACTCGCGATGATAATATTTTCTAGTGAAATCGAGCGTAAAAAAAAAAAAAAAAAAAAAAAAATATCCATCCGGTAAGGAAGGAACTTACCGAGTTCTTTCACGGTAATCGGTTGATAATTTTCCGGTTGGTGGGAAGACTGGATCAATCTGGCTTGACTACCCGTACTTCCTGCTGAAATTGTCGAAGTGGTGCTCAAAGTCAAATGATTCGGAGTGCGACCCAAGTTCGCCTTCTTCTCACCTAAAAAAGCTTGCGAGTCTTCTTCGCCTTCGGACTTTGTTCCCGAATCCATTTCGACCTTTACCTCTCCTACGTTACGACCAACAGATACCGAGAATTTATATGTATATCTATCGGTTGAAACGAGTTAAAGGCTAGAGCGATGCCTTACCGGACGTGTCGCTTATGGTTTTGCTCCTGGAACGGAAGACGGTTTGCTGTTGATTCACCGTGTTCGAGTCCTCCGCGTCCTTGTCCTCGGAACTTTCGTGTTCCATCGTCTGTTTCGATTGACTGTATTTTCTTTTGATGTTGTGCGAGGTCGGTAGTAATTGTGGCTTCACCGTTTTCTTCGACGACGTTACTACCGACGGGGCCACCGACACCGATACCCCGCCACCCGTCGTATTTCCACCGTTGCTCTGTCCTTGACTCGTCGTCTGTTTTTCGAATTTCTCCACGTGTCCGGTCGACATTCGCGGTGAAATCGTGATCGGTGGCTGACTCAAATTCTGTCTGGTCGACGGTATGCTCATGTTTCGAACCGATTCCCGAATAATTTGACGAATCGTTCTTAGAAACGCGTTTCGAAATTCCGTCGTGCTACGCGTTAAACGAACGAGGAAATATCAGTTGGATAGAATATATTTGTGTAGAGAGGGGCCGTAGTTGCGAAAAACAAAGAGTATTACCTGTTCGATAGCACGTATACTTTCTCCGATCTCCTCTGTAATTGACTTCGTAAGTGAATCAATTCCCACAAAAAATGAGATTCCATGTCCTTGGCCGAGCTAGCTCTAACCTGAACTTCCGTCACAGGAATCAATACTTGATAGCGAATTATTTCTACTTCGCTGGAATTCGCTTTCATCGAAACTCCCTGCGAATCGATGCAAACGGTTAAACACGAATAGGATGTTACGAGAGGCAATAAAAGCTTACCATCAACTTCTTCTTTTGCCTCAATCTTTCTTTGCAGAGAAAGACGACAGCCGATTTGAAAACGAAACACATCGCGTGTAACTCGAGACCTTTTTTTATTTTACCGAGAAAGTCGGAAATATTTAGCCAGTCGACGCCTCCGTAATATAACAAATCTCCTGGACTTAAATCGATCGGCTGTGGAAAGACGCGCGATTCCTTTAGAAACAAGAAAGCACGCGATCGTACGAGGAAAGAGACTCGTTTCTCACCTGTTTGCAAGATTTTTGATGTTGTCTGAACAAGTGGTCGAAAATAGCTCCGTATTCTTCGTGAATTCTTTGCATCTCGTTTATGTGTTCCGCCACTTTTTCCATACCCTTGAAAGCCTCTGTAACCAATCAGGATAAACGATTATCGGTCGACATCCTCTCGACTAGACGAATACACGCGTATCTTACCGATCAAATGTTGTCGTTCTTCGCTTCGTTCGTCGGTCAGATTTCCAAGCTGTTGCAGAAGCAAAGGATACTTGACTATCCTCTGAATAGGTTTAATCAAGTACGACTCCAAGGTCGACGAGTGTTGTTGCCTCGGATTTCTTGCTTGCAGGAACTCTTGTAAAGCTTGATTCCCTTCGTCTGTAAAAAATAGAAAGGAGGTAAGAGGGTCGAAAAGCCAGAGAGAGAGAGAGAGGGAGAGAGAGGAGAAGAAAGAAGAATCGTAGTTGAAACCTACTTGGATGTAAAACTTTTTGCGCTTTAGAGTGGCTGGCACAAAACGAGCTGTACAACTTGAAGTGATTTACGTAGTACAAGAAGGCACTTCCAATGGAAAACAGGACACCCTTTAACAACGATACGATACACGTGTTAGGACCGCGGTTACCTAGCACGCGTGTACTACCAGAGAATCGAGAGGGATCGTACCTTAAATTGACTCGGATGGTCAAAGTTGTGGAAATCGGCTTCCATTTCGATCGCGTGATCGAGATTTTGTAGGAATTGCCGTTGAAACGTAATGATCTCTTGAATGTTTCCAAACAGAGCGTTTATCTCGGCGTTCGATAGAAAAGTTTCCCGTTTAAGAGGCTCCAAGTAATTCTCCAGTAAATTGTTCAAATTCTGAAAATATCACCGATTAGAAATCGATGACGTTTGCTTATTATAGAATCGGTTTAAACTATTGGTACGAAACATGTAAAAATAAATTCACCTTCACGTAAGTACGTTCGGTTTCGACCAATTCTAAAATGACCTTTTTCAGTTTTTCGGCGTCGCTCAACTGACGGCTAGGCGTTAACGCTTGCGAATGGGAACTAACGACGCTTCCGGTAGGACTAGATTTCCTGGTTTCGCCGGGCGATCGACAGATTCCCGTCACTTGTTCCGCGGTTTTAAGTAGATTTTCAATTTCGAACGAGTTCGTACGGGACGTTTGTTTACCGTTCTCCAAATGAGCGGTAGTTGCGCACTCTTGTACGATGCTTTCTTTGCCTGCAAACGAAAAAGCGAATCGAAAAAAGTGTTTACGCGTACGTAAAATAAACGAATTGGTACGGTAGGGAATTGGTTGGTCGACTTACTCCAGCCAGGAGCCGGAACGATCAAACCGGAAATCATCTCTTCGCTTATGACGGGTGGATCGGAAGGTGGCGGTGGGCAAACCAAGCTTTCGATTATGTCGTCGGTAACTCTCATTATGCCCGTGAGATCCGGTGGTTCGGTTCGAGACGATCTCATCATCATGCAAAGGCCAAATTCTTCTTGCAACACGCTTTCCAAGTACATCATGTCTAAATCGCTCACAATGGCACCGTTGATCACCATGATTTCGTCGCCTTTAATGATTCCTAAAACGTACGAACGGCATCGAAACAATTCTACGTATCTACGATGCTTTACTTGCTCGTAGTTACTAGCACGTTTACTTATTTACTCGTTTACTTGGGAAGTGCGTACGAACACGCGCAAGTACCTTCAGCCAATAGAGAGTGAAATACGCGGAGAAAATCGATGGTTTTCAATGTCATTCGATAGCCGATTCTGTAGGACGTGGAGAAAAAAAGAACGTTATCGAGGCCAACCGTTCTCGCTTTTCCTCCTGGATCGCAGCTTTGTTCTCGAATTAGACGATACGAGGACGGAGGAGACAATATCTTGGCCTCGACTAACCGATTCGCTGTTGAAGCGAGTATATCGAACTACGTAACTACGTACGCTACTTATCTACTCGTGTATCGAAGGGCCGATATCGATTATCGAATTATCAAGAAAATCGACAGAAGCGATCGTCTTATTTTCACTAATAACAATAATGATGATAATAATAATAAGAAGAAAGGAGGAAAGGGTACTTTACCGTTTTGCATCGCCACGCTTTTATCTTCGACTCTGCTAACGTAACAACACAGTTCGTCTTGCCTATCCGAATTCTCGATGAGCTCTGCTTCCACGGAAAAGCCCCACATTTGCTCAAGGGTGTTCCTCTGTAATTCTACTTGATACAAGATTTTCGCGCAAACTTCAACGATTTCATGCGTATGCAACTGAAACACGAGCCGAAATGCAACGATTTAAGATTACGCTGAAAACAATATTTATTTCGATCGAAGGTGAAATACTCACGTAGGTTTCTATCAAATCGGTTCTATGCGGTACGAAATAGTTGTGATCTTCCATGTCTCTTCGTTTCTTTACGCGAACGAAATGTTCCATCGGATTTAGATTCTTTCGATTGCAAGCGCTTGCAAGGAATTCCTCGACCGTCATAGCGTCGCGTAAAAATACAGACACCAGCTGAAAGTCGAAAGAAACGGTGAAACGGCGAAAGAAAGTCGAAAGGTAGGTGGATAAAGGGATTTACCTGATTCTCCGGTACGCATACTTTCACGGTCTTCTCGTCGTCTCTGGAAGAAATTTGAAGCGATCTTCTGCTCGATCCACTGTTGGATCTCGAGAGCAACGGTGGTCTTCTTTTGGTAGCTCCGCGTCCTGCCAGCAAATTGTTCAGCAACGAAGGACTTCGAGCGCATATGAAAGCGTGGAAGGACGACACCGTGAAGACTCCTAGTTTATTCAACGTTTGCTTCGTAGCGCGAGACACGTGCGTCAATAAACTCTGCGAAGAAAAAAATATTGGTCGAATCGAATAGAATGAAATCGGATCGAACAGGATCGGACGAGATAAAAGCGCGATTATTCTCACGGCTATTATCGCGTCCTTCGCTAATCTAGCGAAAACTGGCTCTCTCGTCCATGCTTGCGGCAACGGTCTATTTGCGGCACGCGTCGATCGATACACCAGCCTCCGTTATAACCCTTATAGTATCCGATTAATCGGCCACGGTAAGCGCAAAAACAATTTCCGCGTGAATTCCATGGCGTTAGTTGGAAATAAGCATGCGCGTACCCACGCGTACAGGAGACTTACTTTTGGATTAGGTAATTCGCCACTTTGAAGACTAGCCATGTAACATCTGAGTCGAAATTGTTCGCAGTGTAATCGCTCCAAATTCTCTTCCCACTGAACAATCTGATTGTTGATTTGTTGCTTCGTTTCCGCATCGGACACGACGGACTGCTGAAGATCCGCCATGTGCTTTAACTTGTGATCCTACGAAAGAGCGAGAGAGAGAGAGAGAGATGGAGGAAATGTAAAAGAACCGAACGGGACCCATTTAAAATAAAATCGTTAATTTTGCCCACCGATTCGATCGCCTTCTCCAAACGAAATATCTCCTCTTGCAGCAAATGAAGCGTCCCGGTTTTACCACGGTGGCGCGCGAATGCCGCCGCGCAAGCCGAATGTATACTGTTCACCCAATTTTCGAGTTCCACCTGACACGGCGCCTAATACAACAATCGAACAGTTCGATTTTAACCTTTGGTCGTTTATCGTGTATCGAGCCAACGGAGAGTTAGGTATTGATCGGTCACTCACTTGGAACAAGTAAGCGTCGCCGAAAGCCGTGCTCAAGCAAAATATGTAATCTCTTTTCGGATGTTCCGGGATCGGTTGCATTATCGCGCCGTCCACTATGATCAAATGCTTCGGTGCGGCTTCCATGGCTCTGCTCTCTTGCGAATCGCACGGATAAAAGAGAAGCGTGGTTCCCTTCAGACAAACCCAATAGCCTTTCCAGCCTCTTTTCCTCGCCAGTTCGATCTGATGCTTCTTCCTCAGCAACCATTTCTTCACGCTCAGAAATCTAGAACCATCGTGGAATGGTCGTTAGCCTTTCCTTATCGAAGGAAAATTGTATCGCGTGCATAACGCTTACCCAGCCTTTCGAACCGCTCCTGTACAGTTAAACGAAGCTGCAGCCGTGCCAGTTTGTTTTCCCCGGTACGGTGAGTTTATAACGCTTTCGCCGTCGTCGTCGTCGCTGACGGCGGTAGTTAGCGACATTCTGTCGTCGTCCGACATCTGCAACGTTTAATCGTTCGATAATTGTCCGTTTTGCGTGTAGGCTACAGTTTCTACGAGAAAATAATGAAAATAAGGTATATATCGAAGTGTAATCGCTCCAAATTCTCTTCCCACTGAACAATCTGATTGTTGATTTGTTGCTTCGTTTCCGCATCGGACACGACGGACTGCTGAAGATCCGCCATGTGCTTTAACTTGTGATCCTACGAAAGAGCGAGAGAGAGAGAGAGAGATGGAGGAAATGTAAAAGAACCGAACGGGACCCATTTAAAATAAAATCGTTAATTTTGCCCACCGATTCGATCGCCTTCTCCAAACGAAATATCTCCTCTTGCAGCAAATGAAGCGTCCCGGTTTTACCACGGTGGCGCGCGAATGCCGCCGCGCAAGCCGAATGTATACTGTTCACCCAATTTTCGAGTTCCACCTGACACGGCGCCTAATACAACAATCGAACAGTTCGATTTTAACCTTTGGTCGTTTATCGTGTATCGAGCCAACGGAGAGTTAGGTATTGATCGGTCACTCACTTGGAACAAGTAAGCGTCGCCGAAAGCCGTGCTCAAGCAAAATATGTAATCTCTTTTCGGATGTTCCGGGATCGGTTGCATTATCGCGCCGTCCACTATGATCAAATGCTTCGGTGCGGCTTCCATGGCTCTGCTCTCTTGCGAATCGCACGGATAAAAGAGAAGCGTGGTTCCCTTCAGACAAACCCAATAGCCTTTCCAGCCTCTTTTCCTCGCCAGTTCGATCTGATGCTTCTTCCTCAGCAACCATTTCTTCACGCTCAGAAATCTAGAACCATCGTGGAATGGTCGTTAGCCTTTCCTTATCGAAGGAAAATTGTATCGCGTGCATAACGCTTACCCAGCCTTTCGAACCGCTCCTGTACAGTTAAACGAAGCTGCAGCCGTGCCAGTTTGTTTTCCCCGGTACGGTGAGTTTATAACGCTTTCGCCGTCGTCGTCGTCGCTGACGGCGGTAGTTAGCGACATTCTGTCGTCGTCCGACATCTGCAACGTTTAATCGTTCGATAATTGTCCGTTTTGCGTGTAGGCTACAGTTTCTACGAGAAAATAATGAAAATAAGGTATATATCGATAAAAAGGTCGGTACGGCGTACGTCGTACGCGAATCTAGAGTCGCGGATTTGTTCGTAATAGATCGTCCGCGAAAATTCTTCGTTACCATAGAACCGTAATCGACGGGACCGAACATCTTGGATATATACAGAGGACGCGAAATTCAAAGGTATATCCCGTTCTCGCAGGGAGACAAAACGAACACGGATGCAACGAAGGGATCACGCGTGTGTGCGTCGGAACGTATCGAGAGGCGAGGAAAAAGTGACGGCACGGCATTACGCGTATGTATGCAACGGAGATAAAAAGAGAGAGAAAGAGAGATAAAGAGGGTTGGGTATGGTTAGATGCGGGAAAGGGTAAAAGAGAGGAGGGAGGCTGCGGGGGAGGGAGAGAGGGATGCTGCGAGGCAGGTAGGGAGGAAGGAAGAGGAAGGAAGAAAGGATGGAAAGATATAATTAACGATTACGAAAGAAGAACCGTCGTCGATCGTTAGGGGCACGCGTACGGTTCTAATAGTGTCAACGACGAAAATCGTGCATCGTCCATAAACATTTGATCGCATGCGAATAAGTTGATGCGATACACTCGTCTCGGGGCAACGGATCACGGACAGAGGATAGGGAATAATAATATCGGGAGCGACAACGACAACGACAACGACAACGGTGCAAGTAAATAGAGAAAAGATCGAGCGAAAAACGTTTACGCGAGACTCGTGTCTCTACCTTTTTAGCGTAACTCGTCATACCGCGTAGCTTGTCGCGTATTCCTCTAAGACCTTCGCCGGCCCAAAAACTTACAACTTTTTTTAAAAAGTCGGCGTTGCAAGCATCCGCCGTGATGTGCGGATGGTAATGACAATAGCAACCCTCCTTCAGAAGCTTCATGTTCTTCTTGGCGGTACCATTGATCTTGAACATGATCTCCTTGCGAGCAATGTCCAGTCCGTCGATGTATCGCTGCGCCCAAGTGTTCAGAGCACCGTCGACGATCCTCAACAACTTGAAATAATAACCGTCGCCGAGGCCAAAGTTGACTTTTTCCCGAACGTTCTTGCAATTGAACCAATACAACTTTCTCGTCTCATTGATGCATATCGCGCTGATGGTATGCCTCTTGCAAAGACAAAAGTACTTTTTGCAGCGTTTTCCGCGCAACGCTTTCAAGTCCGTACAACTAGCGCTCGGATTCGACAAACTCAAGCTACTGTCGGTACTCTCGATCGACCATCTTGGTTCTACCATCGTTCGTCTGGTCGCGTACAATCGATTCGAGCCGATTCGATCCTTCGGTCGAACCGAACGAAACGATTCTGGAATCTGGAAATTCTGCAACGGTCGATCTCGAGACGATATCTCGAAACTATAAACTTCTTAACAACGAAACTAACGGCGGAATTAGCGGCGGAATTAACGGCGGAATTAAAGGCGGAATTAACGGCGAAGAGGTGTCGTCGCGTGACCGGCACCGCTTTGCTTTCTTCCCTCTGTCCCATCAACGATTCTTCCTTTTTCTTATCTCTTTCACTTCTCTTACTTTGAAACTTCTTTATTCTTGTTCCTTATTGTCTTTTGGACGGTCCGAGAGGCAATCCCGAACGAGTTTAACAGAATCGTCCTTATTCGTTTACAGAATCGTAAATTCGAGCAATCTGCTCCACAAAGATCACAGCCAACGGTTCCAATTCTTTCGTGAGCCACTGGAAAAGTCCGATCACGAATGTGCACGCGAAATAAAAGAAACAAAGTCGACCAGCGACCAACATTTTTCTTCTTTCCATCGATGCTAAATTACGGGTATCGTTTCACGGATATCTCTCGATCGTGGTCTTGGTCTCGGTTTCGATCTGAGTCTCGTTCTCGTTCTCGGTCTCCTCGTCGCTTTTCGCGTGTTCGCCCTATAGATAGGTACGAGTAACGAGAAAAACAGGAGAGAAGGAGAAAAAGATCGAAGAAAGGAAGAAACGGATTCCTCTAGAGACTCTTCTGGTGTCTTATCAACTACAACGCTGCTTAATAGTTCGAAAGATTCGGTCATTCTCGTAACTATGCTACGTGGAGGAAAACGGCATTGCTGGACGAACACCGTTTCCGCTTATTTGTACGCGTTTAATCTCTACTTAAGGCAAATCCTTTTCGCATCGTATCGATCGCGCAGGAACAGGCTCGTCCGACGCGTACCATAATTAGACGAGATCGTTTTTCGCGCGTTCGTGTCGATCTTTCCGAGAAACGTCGACCTAGTTCCAAAGCCGATCAACGATTCTAAACGACTATTCGTAAAATTTCTTTAAAAATCCCATGTACCGGGTCCCTCTTCGGTCTCTCCTTCGGCTCTCCTTCGGCTCTCCTTCGGCTCTCCTTCGGCTCTCCTCTCCTGAAGCCTATTTTTCGCGAGTTAAAACGTTACAAGTAAATATATAGAATATTTCGGCGATACGCGCGTATAGAAACGAATTCTCCGTATAAAAATATGGTAGATTTGTCGATGTCGCGTCCTCTTCCGTTGCGTCCTTACGATCTCGTACGTGTACAGGTGCTCGCGTGTACGTATGTATGTATGTATGCACGCGCGTGTGCGCGCGCGTACGCGTACATACGTAACACGCGGAGACAAATATCCTCTTCGAACGTCGAATCTCGTTCCTCGGTTTACGTTTCTCCTTCGTTTCCCGAACAAACAGTTTCCGTCCTCTCTTCGTTCTTCGATACTCTCCTCGACACGCGCGCAACCTGCATCTCTCTCGATTTTCCCTTCGCCTGAGCTTTTCTTCTCGACGTCCCTTCTCTCCACACCCCCGTTCCTTTCCTTTCGTGCTTTGTACTTTGATAGCGATTGCGCGGACTACGCGTTTCCCTCCTTTTTCTTCCTTTATTTCTCTTGCTTCTTGCCGAATTAATATCGTTGCCACTCGTCCACGCTCTAGAGAATGATCGTCGAGCGAAATAACGCGTCAGGAGGAACGAAAACGGTAGACACGCGCCAGGTACCTGATCACCAGTACACGATAATCGCGTACGCGTCTGAAACTAGTATAAGACTAGTTTCGGTAGGTGGTCGTTACCGAAATCGTGTTCGCGCGAGCAGGCGCGCGTTCGACGCGTTCGACGCGCGATTCTTCGAAGAACACGGTAGGAGAAAAAGATCGAAGAAAGGAAGAAACGGATTCCTCTAGAGACTCTTCTGGTGTCTTATCAACTACAACGCTGCTTAATAGTTCGAAAGATTCGGTCATTCTCGTAACTATGCTACGTGGAGGAAAACGGCATTGCTGGACGAACACCGTTTCCGCTTATTTGTACGCGTTTAATCTCTACTTAAGGCAAATCCTTTTCGCATCGTATCGATCGCGCAGGAACAGGCTCGTCCGACGCGTACCATAATTAGACGAGATCGTTTTTCGCGCGTTCGTGTCGATCTTTCCGAGAAACGTCGACCTAGTTCCAAAGCCGATCAACGATTCTAAACGACTATTCGTAAAATTTCTTTAAAAATCCCATGTACCGGGTCCCTCTTCGGTCTCTCCTTCGGCTCTCCTTCGGCTCTCCTTCGGCTCTCCTCTCCTGAAGCCTATTTTTCGCGAGTTAAAACGTTACAAGTAAATATATAGAATATTTCGGCGATACGCGCGTATAGAAACGAATTCTCCGTATAAAAATATGGTAGATTTGTCGATGTCGCGTCCTCTTCCGTTGCGTCCTTACGATCTCGTACGTGTACAGGTGCTCGCGTGTACGTATGTATGTATGTATGCACGCGCGTGTGCGCGCGCGTACGCGTACATACGTAACACGCGGAGACAAATATCCTCTTCGAACGTCGAATCTCGTTCCTCGGTTTACGTTTCTCCTTCGTTTCCCGAACAAACAGTTTCCGTCCTCTCTTCGTTCTTCGATACTCTCCTCGACACGCGCGCAACCTGCATCTCTCTCGATTTTCCCTTCGCCTGAGCTTTTCTTCTCGACGTCCCTTCTCTCCACACCCCCGTTCCTTTCCTTTCGTGCTTTGTACTTTGATAGCGATTGCGCGGACTACGCGTTTCCCTCCTTTTTCTTCCTTTATTTCTCTTGCTTCTTGCCGAATTAATATCGTTGCCACTCGTCCACGCTCTAGAGAATGATCGTCGAGCGAAATAACGCGTCAGGAGGAACGAAAACGGTAGACACGCGCCAGGTACCTGATCACCAGTACACGATAATCGCGTACGCGTCTGAAACTAGTATAAGACTAGTTTCGGTAGGTGGTCGTTACCGAAATCGTGTTCGCGCGAGCAGGCGCGCGTTCGACGCGTTCGACGCGCGATTCTTCGAAGAACACGGTAGGTTCCGTCGAGTACTCGCGCACAAGTATCCTTGTACGCGCCGCGCCGCGCGGCGCCGCGTCAAACTGCACCGCACCAGATCGTTCGGCGGGGACGATCGATCGTTATCTTTTCGAAATTACCGCTCGAGCATCGAAACAGATTTACTTTCGACCGTATTTCCTATGCTCATAGGAAACTGAGATGATCGAGCCAGCCGCGAATAACTCGTTTAATTGACGACGAAGCAAGTTTGCGCGCATCCCGTTTGCCAGTGATCGGGCATCTCGTATCCAGTGTTCCCGTCCATCGCGAATCGCGGCCGACGTTTCGCCGGACCAGCTGCGCGGACGGTAATTGGCCCGTCGATCGTTGGAGAACCCGTTGGTATCTGGGTTAACGACGAACCACCAACTAACGATCAAATACGCCGAGCGATAGCGACGAATTATGTCCAGTTCGGTTTCACGGATTTTTCGGCAAACTCTCGCGAGCAGGTTGCGAACGAAGGAACGGTGCAAATTGATAGATCTCGTAGCCGCGAACACGCGTCGTTGCTCCAGACTTGTGCGCTGCTGGAGAACAGGGAAGCGGAGCTGCTACCGCGAGGGGAATCAATACCTCGGTCCTTGTGGAAACCGAAAGGGGGTCGGGATAGCAGCCGGTAGTAGGGAAAGGAAAGGTTGCCGAGGGGGGACGCGAAGAGGCTGGAATCGAGGTTGGAACGGGAAAACGGGTGACGCTACTCGCTACCGGAATGGGTGGTGGAATTAAGCTGGTGGGGAATCGCGTGGAGGGAGACGAACAGGGGTTGATGCATACTGCCGGGTCGCGACGCGCCGCGCCGCCTCGCGTACTGTCGCTGCTGGAGAACCTTTTTACCGAGAACAAGGAAACGAGAGCGACGTTTCCGAAGCAGCAGCCACGAAAAGGCTGTTGCATCTGCTCCTACCGTCGACCATCGATACGAGACGCTTCCTCGTTAACCCTCGACGCTTCGGCTATTCTCGAACGATTCTTGACCGCGTGTATATCGTTGCGCGCTCCTACCCACTCGAATACGTACGCGAAATGGACCCGTATCCTCGCTCACCGATTATAAGGTTAATACGATATTAATTATGCACACGATTCGTCGATGATCCGTTACTATGTTTATACGCGTTCGGAGATGCGTTCCTCGTGCTCGTTCCTCTTCCCTTTCTGTCTTCGAATTTAAATATCGAAAGGCGACTCGTACGTGCGTAGCCAACGTTGGTAGATCATGGATTCCTATCGGATAAATATCGTGCATTTCTCGTGGATATCGAGAACGATCGACATAGATAGCTGTTTAGCGCGTTCACGATCGCGACGAACACAAAGTACGAACTGCAGAATCGGTTTCGGTATTACTACAGTACGAAACGTCGAGATTAGATTTGCCGTGATTTTATGGAGCAACGAAAGAACGAGGTGCGCGAACGAACGCGTACGTAGTTAACTACTTCAGTCGATCCATCGCGTACGGCAGTCTTTATCTTTACCATTTACCGATCGAACAGGGTACAGATTATTTCACGTATACGTATTATGTATCGACGAGGTCAACTGTCAATGGCTGTTCAGGCACGACTCACCTCCGAAGACGTCAAGTAGCATAGTCTCGAGTCCGTACTCTCCAGAGAAGCTTGTTGAACGATTCCGTATCTACCGTCTCTGTCGGACATGTAATCCGACCTGACGCTGTCTTGTCTGTCGAAAGTACCCCTGAAAAACATACGTTACGAGACAAATATTACGCTTTATGGGAAGGTAAGGAAACGAAACGTAACGAGAAGAAAAGAATATTATAGAAGAAGAGAAGTTTAGAGAAGAAAAGATATTAATAACTACTAATAAAAGGTATTCGGTAGGCGTTAAGTAAGTGGTTTGTCGCGCTTCGATACGCGATACGTCAAACGACCTTTCGATCAGTTTCCCGACGAACAATATGTACGGTATTCACGGTGAACAAGTTTCCCGAAGCAGCCCGGATACCTAAAGATAGTCGGCCGTTGGTCGTTTACGCGTTCCTTGCCATGGCTAGCTTCCGTACCTTTGTTCCAGAGAATCGGTCCGATTCGATTTGTATCCGCTGTCGTTCAAGCTGCCTTCGTGTCTCAACGATGGCAAAGAATCCCACGGAGATTCTCGTTTATGTCCCGAATAACTGGGATTTATCGAACTCGAAGCGCCAGAACCGAGAGTCGAACTGCCCGACTGCCATCCGTCGGAATGCCGAAACCACTGGGCACGTGCCGATTCTCCGATACAGCTCGCGCATCTTAAAACCATCGTACTACCATTTATTACTTAACTCTCTCCGACTTTTCCTCGTTCGTGCTTTTCACCCGCGTTTCACAACGATTTTCTACCCCGACCAGATCGAACAGAAAACCGTACACGCGTGTCTCTCCGTATAATTCGCGTATTATTCATAGATCGCGACCTTTTCCTCGGCAAAATTGCTCGCCGACTTGTATCGCGCTCCTCGACGAGCACTCGAATATACAACGTACGAATCGTTATACCTGGAATTGTAATCGCTGAGGTAACCACGATCTCGATCGATGTCTCTTTCTCTTTCCCTTTCTCTCTCTCTTTCTCTGTCCCTTTCCCTTTTTTCACGTATTATTTCGTTGCGATCGCTATAATAACCGTCCCTGTCTTTACTGTTTTGCCTTTCGTTGCAATAGCGATAGGATAACGGTAACGTGGACGACTTGTTGGAAACGGAGCCTGGAAACAAAGCGCAGAAATCAGTAAAATCATGTTCCGACAAGTAACGCGCATTTTGCGCATCGAAGCGTAATCATCGTGTATATTATATATATATGCTTTGGTGTCGACAAACTTACGCCTTCGCGAAACGTGAGGTGTGCGTTGCACGTTCGACGGTATGTTCTCCGCGAACTCTGCAACAGCGATGCTCGATATGATTACTTCCGTCTACTGATACACGCCGAATAAATAGACATTGGTTAAGAAAAGGAAAATAACGAAAGGATAAAGAGAAAGATAGAAAGAGAGAAAGAGAGAAAGAGAGAAAGAGAGAAAGAGAGAAAGAGAGAAAGAGAGAAAGAGAAATGAAAACGAGAAAGAAATAGGAATAAGAGGCAATGAAAAGTTCTAAGTAAGGTTTCAACTTACCCAAGTTTTCCATACTTTGAGTGAGAAGCGCCTCGAAGGTACGCAAACTGTAGCTCTCGGCATCCATACCTTGAGCCAACGTGTTCCTTAAATGCATCTCGTATTCGAGAAGAAGTCTGCTGGTAGGACTGCCGGGTGTCGAGACGGATTGCATACTCTGTTGTTGATATGTCTGGCCACCGTTACAACGACGCGAATTGCAGTGAGTCGGTTGTTCCATGTCCGAATTACCGTTCGACGAACTTGGCGTAGTGGCGTAACACTGATTATCGAAAATGACATTATCCGATGGCGGCGACACGTCACCCGTGCACCGATTACGTTCCGAATCCAAATAGGTCCTGCCTCTGCCGCCTACGACATATTGACAGTCCGTTACTAACGGGTGCTCGATGCGGTTATCGAAAATCTTCTGATGTACAACGTGTTCACCCGTTCACCGAGAAAGGAATCGTTACTCGGTTACGTACGTGTTCGGATTGGTTCGACGATGCGTCGACATGCGCCATACAGCATGCATCTCCGTTAACTACCCACCCTGTCGCTCTATTTATACAACCTAATACCTTTCCTCTTTTTTCATTGTTTTTTCTTTTTTTAAACGCAACAGATCCCGTGACATTAGACGAACTTTACGAGAGACACGAGAAAACGGAATCTTACTCCTGGTCCCGCTATCGAACGTCGAATGTTCTAGGAACGCGCGATCGTTTTGCTTAATTTTTCGACCTAACCTAATTTAATAATTGAATAATTTATTCATTAATTTAGAAGAGAATCAACTGTGTTCGCGGATTAAAAAGAGAAAGATTTTCAGAATAGTCTACTCGCTACGTTCGACGTTAAAGACTCGAGCTTAACATGTACCAGCATATTGGCGTCCGATGTCGTGCACGCTCCTAGAAGCCTGGAACTTGTTGGTATACGGCGGGGCTCGATAGGGATGTGCATAGTTCTCGTTATCGGTCTCCTGCATAACGTACTTCTGATTATTATTGCTCGGATGATAATGATAACTGTGATGACTATGCCTCTTTCTGGTCATCTCGGGCGACGTAACGGGACTGTCGATACTCGACATAGGTTTCAGCATTCTCTTCAGAGTGTTCGAATCTAAACTGATACCACCGTTTTGCGCGTTCTCGATTCTCATATCGTCGGTGCTTTTGCTCTTCGATTTCTTTCCACCGTGATTATTGTTCACTATATTGAAAATGTTGCCGTTTTGCATTTCCAGATCGGTATAATCGGCAGATTTAGTATGATGCAATTGCTCCTTTCGTAACGATTTGTTCTGTAACGTACCACCGGCCTGGGTACCTTCCGATTTCAACGTTTCACCACCGTTTTGCTGAGTAGACGTATCTTGGCTTTGTTTCTGAGACTTTTTCGGCGAGATCGACGATGCTCCTTTCTCCTCCGGACTATCGATCTGCAATAGATTCGCGAGATCGTTCGAATTATCCAAATTATCCAATATTTTAGGGCCGCTAAAAGAGATAGAAATCGAACGATCGGATAAACGCAAAAGAAACTTACTTGCGATCCAACGGTGACCGTTTCGATGCCGACGTTCGCCGTTTTCGGCGTAGTCTGACACGTTTCGTTCTGTTTCTCTTTCTGTTTGGTCGATTCACCAGCGGCCTTTGGCGTCTTCCCCGGTGTCGCGTTCGCGTTGTTCACGTTATCGTAAAGAGAAGCGCTGGACGTAGCCGCGGTTATTTTCTCGCGAGCCGGAGTCATCTCCATCTCCGTGGATCGTGCCATAGTTCTCGGAAGAGTGGACGTACCTGTACGGACGATAATCGAATCGTTAATCACTCGAGTGCTCGAGTTGTCAGGTTAACGGAGAAACGAACGAATCGTACCGCTAAAACCTCGGTATCTGGCTTCTTGATTCCGAAGCCTAGCGAACTGTTCCGGTGTCATACAAGTACATTGAGGTTCCCTGGATCTGCTAGGAGAGGCTGGCGTCGACAGCGGCTTCCTCCGTGGTTTATTCTTCTGTTTGTTCGGTGGTTCGAGCTTCAACGAGTAAGAAGAGGACGCTTTCCTTGAAATCTTGAACGACGGTGACTGTACGAAAAATTATCTAATAACTATAAATTACTCAAATTCTAGTCTCGTGTTCGCGAACGAGCTTACAGTTTGAAGGTTGCACTTTTGCGAGTAAAAACTTTTCGACTTTAAGGTCCTTTTCGACCTTACGAACGATTATCGATTATCAAACGAGAGAGTTTCAGCGAACGCGCGAAACGAGCTTGCGAACGAGAGCAAGGGAAAATAAGAAGGAAGAAGAGGTGATAACCGTTAATTTTAATCGGTTCAAAGCAATTATCGGTAAATCGGGAACTAACGTCTTTGCAAACTTACGCAACATTCTCGGAACTGTTTGGCATCTATCGGTGAGGTAAAATTCAGTCCCCACGTATCGTTGGTCATGGTATCCTTCCAGTAAACGAAACACTCGGATGCTTGGCCGATACGTGTTCCTTGAACAAGCCGAAAAGACGAAACGGATGATCGTTCGGTAAAGGAACACGTTCGTGCCTTGCCTACCGCAACAGGAAGAAACGTTAATTTTACCTGGTTGAACCAACCGCACGTCCAAGATTTTGTCCACTTGACTGTTGTACGCGGTAATGTGAAAGACACATTCCGGCGAATCCTGGATGCACGTGATATTTACAGGAACTAAGTCTTCGGAGACCTGCTGCCACTTTACCGTTCCTGCGCCGCTGGCACTCACGTGGAACACTTCCGCCCACAGCCTACAAAACTTTCGTCGTTGAATCGTTTCTCTCGACAACAACATTGTTTCTTACATCGAAACACCGAAATATAACGATACGCAGCAAGAAAAATCAGCGAAATCGATCAACGAAAAGAGAGAAAATGCTCGACAATTTTCTTTCTTCTCTGTCTGAAATAAGTTTCTTCGTTCCGTGACAAAACGGCACGACGATCGGCCACGAGTAGGACAAAAACGACTGATCGTCTCGCGGTAGCTTCTCGCCGGTAGGTCGACTTCTCTCGGAAGGAGGAAACTTGGGAGAAAGAAAACGAAAGGAAGCGTGACTCGAAGCGTTCGTTCGTCTGAAACTACGCGCATTCTAATCAACGTACGAAAGAAACAAAGAATGCAAAGAAAAACTCATGCTTTTCGCGGTACAGTTGCTCCGTTGGCCACGACACGAGACCGTCGAAAACTAGCCATCGCGAATCCTCTGAATCTTTCCTTCCTCGAAAAAGAATAAACTATGCTACTTAAATCGTACTTTTTCACCGTTCGATCTGATCGTAACCCTATACCCGAGCTTCTTAGCTATTTTACGAATATTCTCTTTCGTTTCGTGTTTCTTTCTTGTTTATCGAAAATTGGTTACGCACGACGCGCGCAAATGCATCGACGAAATCTCGTCGAGCGTTTCGGACATGTTCGTAGACACCGTAATCGAAGATTCGGGGTAGGCATCTCGTGGCGAAAAGTAGACTCGGAGTTTTAAACGACGAACGAAGGAAAACCAGGAATAGACGAAATAGAATACACCTGTGTCAGAGAAATTAAAGTCAGAATAGAGAGAAAGGAAGAGAAAGTGATTCGATTAAACGCATATTTGGATGCAAATACGATTTTACGCGTGCGTGTCTCTGTGTATTCGAAAAAGACGAAGAAGGAAAAGAAGAAGAAGAAGAAGAAGAAGAAGAAGAAGAAGAAGAAGACAAAGAAGGGGACAAAGGAGAAGAAATGGATAAAAAGAAGAAAATAGATCGGAAAGGAAGAGCGGAGAGCGAACGAACACGAAACTCAGGTAGAACAAGACGATTCGAAATTGAAAAACTGTACATTTTCTAAAATACGTAGATAGAAAATAGCACGATTTTCTAATACGTTCTTTGTAATGATCGATGAACGAATTAAATCGAAGAGTTAAACGATAAAGCGCAGATTTCTGTTTCGCGAGGTTGCAACTGGTTGTTCGATAAATGTTCTACCTGAGAAACTGAACGAGGATACGCTCAACGTAAACGCGTACGATTGACTTTTTCAACGAAACAGAGATCGACGATGGAGTCGAACGGTGGAGTGGTCGAACTGTTGAACGATTGAATGGTATGGTATGCGCACCTCTTCCTTTCTCTTAAGCTTCCGCACCTGAGCAAGTGGCCAGTGTCACCCCTGCGACCTCCGCTGCCGCCCATTACTCCCCTAGCCCCAGCTTGCCATGGAGAATCTTCGTAACGATACGCTTTTTTGATAAGAGGAGCGCAACTGCAAGATAACTTATTGCCCATTCTATTGTCCTTACGATTTTGTTTTGCTCGCGACTCTCCTCCTAAACCTCCCCCGCCACCGCCTCCACCTCCTCCTCCTCCTCCTCTTCCTCCTCCTCCTCCTCCTCCTCCTCCCCCTCCTCGTCCACTTCTTTCCCTCCTGCCACCCTTTTCTTTCTCCTCTTTAATTAAACACTTTCACCTTCCTTCCACCGATCAGCTTGTACGGCCAACTTTATATTTTATTTGTCGTCTCCAGCGTAATGGTCGCGTGTTTTTCTATTTCAGTTCCTTCCTCGATAGCTTGACTTTTCTCTCTGTTCTCGTCTTCTCTTAATTATCTCGACGTTCGGCAAAGTTCATCGAAGCATCCGGATGCCGTAAATTCGCTTTGATTGGCTCGTCTATCGACTTTTGGCACGGTTTCCTTCGACCACCGATCTAACCGGTGATCCCTCGAATGTCGCTTTCTCGTTCTATTCCGGGAAGCACCATGCAACAGGGATAATACCCCCGTGATATAAGAGAGGACGCGGAAGAAGGTATCTTTATTGTCACATCGTCGCAGCCGTTCGAAAGGTCATCAGCTTGTCCCTGACATGATCGCTGCAAATAAAACGATTATGCGTTATTAGTTTCTGTGTTTGCACGAGGAATACGTGATCGTTCGAAACCGAGAACGAATCGATCGCATTTATCGTCAATTACTCCGTTAAACGTGTCGAGAATTTTACTCTTTCCGTTTATCCTTTACGTTTCCGAGCTTTTCCCGTGACCGCGATCGAATACGATAGACGACTCACGCGTTACCGAGATCAATGAAACGGGACGGAATGGAACGAAGCTTCGCGTCGCGTTACGTTCAGTTGCGTTTAGTTGCATGTAGTTGCGTTCACTTGCGTTCACTCGCGTTCGGATGCGTTCCGTTCCGTTCCGTTCCGTGAATGTGTCACGGATAATAATAAGGGTGGCGTCGCCGCATCGGGGGTTAGTGAACCGATATACCAACTTTTCATCTATACCTACATACTTTCACGCACACAAACATTCCATACACTGAACAGTATGAACCAGTGATATTTAACGTCTTTTGTCTCAATTATTTCGGAACAACTATCGGTTTCTGACAAAACGCACAGCGTATCCATCGACGCTAACGCGATCAAAATTGACGTCCTCCCCCTCCTCGTCCACTTCTTTCCCTCCTGCCACCCTTTTCTTTCTCCTCTTTAATTAAACACTTTCACCTTCCTTCCACCGATCAGCTTGTACGGCCAACTTTATATTTTATTTGTCGTCTCCAGCGTAATGGTCGCGTGTTTTTCTATTTCAGTTCCTTCCTCGATAGCTTGACTTTTCTCTCTGTTCTCGTCTTCTCTTAATTATCTCGACGTTCGGCAAAGTTCATCGAAGCATCCGGATGCCGTAAATTCGCTTTGATTGGCTCGTCTATCGACTTTTGGCACGGTTTCCTTCGACCACCGATCTAACCGGTGATCCCTCGAATGTCGCTTTCTCGTTCTATTCCGGGAAGCACCATGCAACAGGGATAATACCCCCGTGATATAAGAGAGGACGCGGAAGAAGGTATCTTTATTGTCACATCGTCGCAGCCGTTCGAAAGGTCATCAGCTTGTCCCTGACATGATCGCTGCAAATAAAACGATTATGCGTTATTAGTTTCTGTGTTTGCACGAGGAATACGTGATCGTTCGAAACCGAGAACGAATCGATCGCATTTATCGTCAATTACTCCGTTAAACGTGTCGAGAATTTTACTCTTTCCGTTTATCCTTTACGTTTCCGAGCTTTTCCCGTGACCGCGATCGAATACGATAGACGACTCACGCGTTACCGAGATCAATGAAACGGGACGGAATGGAACGAAGCTTCGCGTCGCGTTACGTTCAGTTGCGTTTAGTTGCATGTAGTTGCGTTCACTTGCGTTCACTCGCGTTCGGATGCGTTCCGTTCCGTTCCGTTCCGTGAATGTGTCACGGATAATAATAAGGGTGGCGTCGCCGCATCGGGGGTTAGTGAACCGATATACCAACTTTTCATCTATACCTACATACTTTCACGCACACAAACATTCCATACACTGAACAGTATGAACCAGTGATATTTAACGTCTTTTGTCTCAATTATTTCGGAACAACTATCGGTTTCTGACAAAACGCACAGCGTATCCATCGACGCTAACGCGATCAAAATTGACGAAAATGCCCGTAAATGTATAACGATAATGACAGCGATAAACATAATTAAAATGCAAACGACATTTCATCGAATAACGTTCTTAAGAATGCTGTTGCAACCGATTCGAACGGGTAACGGATCAAACTTTTAACGATATCCCATTAGATCGATCGCCTCGATCAAACATTCGAAATAAACATACGCGTTCGTGATAGTTCGATAAGTAGAAAGTTGAATGGAAAAAGCTTGCTAAACACTATATCGATTTTGAGCACGATACCGTTTCTTTTCGCCCGCGCCTAAACATTACCGGGGCTACAAAAGCCGGCCATTCAAACTCTATCGCGTTTTCGCGTTCCATCTTATTTCTCCATGCACATTTAGTCAAGATCAAAGAAGAAGAAACGTAACGAACCTCTTAAAAGTACGATCGGGAAAAAAAAGGTTCTACTTAAAAAAACTGCAGTATTTTTTTCAATCTCGCGATCAAAGATGATCGATAGATCGAAATCGCAGGATTCGCGTTACCGAGAAACTATAAGAGGACCGTCACCGCCTAATCCTAGTCGAATCCACCTGAGCCCGGTACCCGAATAAACACTGCGCCAACACTGGATGCACCACCCGCTAGTTATTCGTCGTTCGATGCTCGATGCTCGATCAACGCCCCTCGCTATCCAATCTTCGAACAGAAGAAATCCTAACGATACAGATTTCTCGCACCGTTGCACACTTTCTTCGGCTTTAACTCTTTCGTACGTTGCGTCTCTTCCGTTACTTTTCTTATCGTTATTCTACCCTGTCCCTTTTCACAATTTCTTCGATGCACCTTCCACGTTTTTCCCCTTTTAACCCTCTACTTGTCTCGCATCCAGCTCTTTTCCTCTCTCTCTCTCTCTCTCCCCGCCCTTTTCTCTCTCTCCCTCTCTCGCTCGCTCTCTCTCTCTCTCACCCACCCTCCATGTCACACCTAACCCACCTACACTTGTACATAACACATCTTTTCGTTCAGCCGTTTGTTCGTTTACGTTCACGCGTTTGCAAATTTCGATGACTTCATCGCGGCACAAGACTCACCGATGGCTATGTTTTCGCCACAATAAAGAATCTAATATTGCCCCGATAGGATTCAAGCGTCGAACGTTGTTATACGCTGTTGTATTTGGTTGAAATACGGCAGAAGAAGGTGGAAATAGAATGAAAAAGTAAGAAACGAGAGGTACAGAAAAGGAGTACGTCGAGTGGAGAAATAGAAAGGTAGGATAAGGAAGAAGAGGAGGTACGCGAGAAGGTAAAAGATGGAAAGATAAACGAGCGAATAGATAGAGAGGGAGGGAGAGAGAGAGAGAGAGAGAGAAAGAGAGAGAAATGGGGGGGGAGAGAGGGAGTGACGGGGTGAGTTAGGGACAGGATCAAAGAAGGGATGGGTTACCGTGGTCGTAGTAGAGGGGCGAGATCACGGTATCCACCCTTTTCGAAAGCAAGTAATTGGCGAACGATCGGTCGTCGAACGATACGAAAGACGATCTACCTAATGACGGGTCGTTCGATGATACGAAGCCACTCGACACTTCACCGACGGTATCCAAAATAAAAAATAAAACGATTACGAGCTGAAAATTCCCGGTATTTCGCGCAAAATCCTCGCGGACGACGTAGCCATGGATACTGCAGGATCGGGTAAAAGAGGCAACTGCCCCGTTACCCACCACCCCTTCTTCTACGAATGCGCGCCCCTCGACCGAAAATGTCAATATCCTCTCTTGCTGCGCCCGCGATGCGCTCCACGTTACTCTGAACAGCTCTGCATGCGTTTTCCATTCCCCTACCATCCGCCACCCTCGCTCGAACATCCCCTCCCTCCCGTTACTCCGTCTCTCGCGCAACGCCTTTATATTCCCCTCCATTCCTTTCCTAACCCTCGCCCACCCTCTCGTACTCTCTCGCTCCCTCTATCACACACCCACACACGCACGCACGCACATATCTACAAATATGCGTACGATCCTGTTTCGCTTCTCCTGTCGCTCCTCTTTCGTTCTTTTCGTTTCTTATACTTTTTCCTCGTCTTATATCCTTCCAAAATATCTATTCTTTACATTTTCCCTATTTTTATATTTTTTTCTATGGCTTACATGATTTTCTTTTTTCTTCCCCCGATCAAATTTTCTCGATATCGCGATCCACTTCGACTCGATTTGTCTGTTCGACTATTTAACTGGGTTGCCGCGCGAAAACAACTTCGTTCTATCAAAATGTACAATTTACACAAACGTTTTACTTCCACTTTACGATTTCGTTCACCTTTCAAATTCGAATCTCTTCTATCACTGCTCGTCTTTGTACTTCGCCGATTACACTCAGCCTCGACCGGTCGATCACGTTAAACTCACCGTGAAACGAATACAGGAGGGCGACCACTGTCACCGTCCTTATCGTCCTTGTCCTTGTCCTCGTCCTCGTCCTCGTCGTAGTCGTCGTCGTCACTGTCGCCGTCGTCGTCCTCGTCGTCGTCGTCGTCGTCAACCTCTCTTCGTATATCGGCGCTTCGATGCGGACTCGTGTATACGTGGCAACGCGGAGAGAGTGTGTTCGGACATAAAACGTGGTCAGCTGTCCGCAAAGGAGGCAATACCAACAGGACCGAACGAACCGTTTATGTTCGTAATGCGGCCAACACGAACATCGAGTCGAGGAGACGCGTCGACCAGGAATTACAATGTGATTTTCGATATCGTTATTTATAAATATCGATTATATCGTTATGGTATCATCGTGTCGTACGGAGGTGCAGCCTCTGATCGCCGCTCAATTTTCCAATTCCCAACTACGTAACTTTCCAATGGTAAGATTTTGATAACAAATCCGCCTATTATATTTGTACATTTATAACACATACAATGTTGTACAAGATACAGCAGTGTAACGATGAATTTAATGCGTCCTACTCCGATCAACTTGAGTAACTCCCGTCACGATCGAATTAACGATATTATCCATGTTAAATACCAATAAGATATCGATACGATACCGATAATCGATAGTCACCCTTTTGCTCGCGCGCATACGTAATGCGAACGAGGCAAAGACGAAGCGAGAAAAGCAGAGGCGGAGTACCTCAAGAAAGAAGGGAGGAGAAGAGACGAAGCGTTAAATATTAAAAACAATCCATCAATTAACGTTAATGCCCAAGCATTAAGCAAGCTCGCCGCCGCTGCTGCTCTGTTCTCGCTGTGCGGCGACACGTGTTCCCGTGCGACTGTGTGCCCGACGCGCTTCCATACGCGCGTCGACGCGCGTATATATACGTACACGCTACTGGTAGGTATCATTTCGGTTCGTTAGGCGCGGCCCGCTGTCGTATAGGCGTTACGCAGTGTACATACGTCGTGTGCAAGATATACATATGTAAAGTGTACACACGTGCGGTTGCACCGTGCCTCGCCCTCTATCTATGCACGCGCGCGCGCCACGACGTGTATATACGCGCGTAGGTGCGTGTGCAACCCGTACACACGGATCGTGGGCATCGCTTGTCGTGACCGATGATTCGCCTCGTAGAAACGTTTCCTCTCGTCGTCGACCAGCCTCGTAAACGCTGCCGAGAGGCTCGACCATTCGGAAGGGTTAATTTCTGAACGGAGACACTGACAGGGGACACAGCTGCCGAGAAGAACGGTCGAGTCTACCCACGATACAGATAACAGAAAAATTCCGACGATTCGGCTACCCACCATAAGTAAGCGCATAGAAACTGGACTCCTGCGGCGACCGTAACCTCGAAAGTGGACCTTAAAATACCGATGGCTCGTTATGTGGAACCTCCTGATCTCCCTGGCGGATTTAGCCTTAAAAGGGACCCGACGTCGTCGTCGTCGTCGTCGTCGTCGTCGTCGCCGTCGTCGTCGTCGTCGCTGTCGTAGTTGCCGTCGTGCTTCTATACCGAGGCGTAACCATAGTGATTACCGATCGATATCTGGCATGCGCATTCTTGCGCTAACTCGTACAAACTGAAAGAACCACCCCCGTCCTAGCTCTTTCTTTCTTTCGGTTTATCCTCTTTTACCTATCATCTGTAACAAACATTACGTACGAAAACTAGCTTTTCGATAATCCGTGCCATGCTAGATTCGCTATAACGATTGATAAAAACCTACTGCACGATTACCCCGACTTCAAGCAATCAATCATTACTCTTCTATTTTCTTTCTTTTCTATTTTCGTTCTTGCGCCTCCTCGATTTCTATCTTTTTACGCCGCAACAACTGCAATTCGAATAAATTACATACTGTTATACTAGTTTTACGTATTATATCGAACATTCGTCAAATTTACTTTTACTTTATACGATCAATTATTGTATCCGTAAACGTTTCTTGTGTCCATCTTCAACCGCAACGAATCAAATGTCTCCTATATGTAACAACGTTTTGTGTAAAACTTCCTTTTCTTCCTCTTCTTCTTCTTCTTCTCCTTCTTCCTCCTCTTCTTCTTCTTCTGCTTCTGTTTTTCTCCTTTTTATTCGCGTTCCTTAGAAAAAAAGAAAGAAACAGTAATCTTCCTCTGTATCAATGTTTTATTAAATTTTTACAAATCCAGTACATGATAAATCCTGGCCGATATGTATTGTTCAAATGTGCTCGTAATCAGCCGTTTCGCATCACGAATCAGAATTTAGAATTCGCTTCCAACTTTAAAACTTACGCACGCACGCGCATTCAATGTTCTCCATTTCCTGCTAACGATATTTTCCACAATTCGCGTTCAATATTTTGTTGAAATATTTGTTTGGTTAAAAGTACACGAGTCGGGAAAAGCGGTAGATATTTGTTTGTATTAATATAAACGTCTTAACCGCTTTAAGTTTCATGCTTTCAAGATCTATCTGTAAATACAGTTTTTGATCTACATCTTGTAACGGTTTTTTACTATAATCTTCAATTTTCGATTACGCCTACACATCTATAGAAACAATAATAAATTCCATTTTCCAGTTAAAATAAAGAAAACTACTGATATTCATTTTTATTGCATTCTTTGCAAGTATATATATATATGCGTAGTAATTAATTAGAAATACTTATCTTAAGTTCGTATTATCGTCCGATCACTATTTCGCTGATTTCCTGAAAAGTGTAACGTGTCAAGGATAATGTTTAAACATTATCTGACGTAAATACTTATGTACAATATACGATAGATGATGATCGTATGCGGCGGTACTCTCTCTGAAGTTAGCCACCAAAGTTAGAGATTAAACAAAACGAACACGCTTCCTCCCTCGTATTTTTATATGCATAAAGATTCGTTACATACGTATCAGGTGTTTTGATACACTGCATGTAATAAAAATGTGTTTAGGTTCAGTTGTATTGTACATATTGGAATAAGTTGGTCGGAAAGAAACATTTGAAAGGAAATTAATAAATTTTATGGGTCTTTGTCTAAATACGAGTGTTCGATTCTAATGAAGTTGGTGTAAATGTAATTTTTCTATTTAATCAACAGATTAAATTGATCAATTTCAAACATTTCTGTCACATAACCTACATATTTTCTCATGCTGTTTTTCCATTTTGTGATTATAATCGGTTTAAAATGTTAAAAAGAATCGGATTTCATATAAAAGTAACGTACAACAACGCGCCGTTGCGTTTTATTAGCAATTTATCGATAAAACCTAAAGAAAATGTTGAAGATAAAATGCAAGCTTGGCAGATACATTCGTATGGTGGCTTGGAAGAATTAAAATTATCGCATGTTAGAATACCAATGATCGCTAAACCAACAGAGATTCTCGTTAAAGTCGAGGCATCTAGCATAAACCCAATAGACATCGCTATGACAAGTACACGATATCTTGTTTTTCCTCCTTAGTTTCGTCGATTTTTAAACATATTGTCCATTTGCCATCTTACTAGGAGGATACGGTGCAACAATTCTAAACTTTATGCGAAAAACAAGAAGTTTTACTGGTGCTCCCTACGATGAATTAGAACTTCCGTTAACTTTAGGCAGAGATTTTTGTGGTATAGTAGTCTCAAAAGGGCATGGTGTAGAGACCGAGCTAAAGTTAGGAGATCAAGTATGGGGTGTAGTACCTGTAGAACAGCAAGGTTGTCATGCTAATTATGTAGTTGTTGACAGTGATACGGTAAGTTTTCAATTATGTATATCTTCGAGCATGACACGATATAGATTTTACTAATTTAAATACTGAATGAGTTTCTACAAAATATTGTTACCCACAGGTTAGGCCATGTCCTAAAAATTTATCGTGCGTTGAAGCAGCCAGTATACCGTATGCCGGACTCACGGCATGGTCCGCATTATGGATTACTGGAGGACTATGTTCCAAAACTGTGTCAAGTAATAGCAGTGTATTAGTACTCGGTGGGTCAGGAGGAGTCGGAACTTTGGCGGTACAACTTTTGAAGGCTTGGAACATGCATGTACGGTTGTTTACAGAGCTCATAAAATTTGTGCAATAGTATTTTTCTAATACATTGATATAACATTAGCGATAACTGATTTATTAGGTTGTTACTACTTGTAGCAGCGACGCTGTAAATTTGCTACAAAAATTGGGTGCAGATGTTGTAATAGATTACAAATTAGAGGATGCTGATTCCAGAATAATTACAGAGGGACCGTATGTAATGTAATCGTTAATATATCTGCGACGTAATATAATGTAAATTTACACGTAATTTCAACTCCAGGTACTACCTAATTTTAGATTGTGCTAATCTGGGACCAAATCATGTGCGATTTAAACGTTATCCACATTCCACGTATATTACTTTAAACTCGCCGTTATTAAAAAACATTGATCAGCGTGGATTAATAGTTGGAACGATGAAAAATATTGGAGAATTAGTGAAATATAATATTCCAATAATTGAAAATAAAGGTACCGTGAAATGGGGATTTTTTATGCCTTCGGCAACAGGACTTAAAGTGCTTGAAGAATTTGTTAAAAATGGAAAGGTATGAATAATTATATGTTACTTTAGCTTGATTCGTTAATCTTGTAACGTGCAGCTAATAAGACTCTTTTTATTTAGATAATACCCGTCGTCAAAAAAGTATATCGATTTCACGAGTTACCGTTGGCCTACGAAAGAGTAGCTCGTGGCCACTTGAGAGGTAAATTGGTCGTCGATATGAGGTAGTGTTTTTAACAAGAATTACTAAATTAACATGTAACATGTTACAAATTAATTTAATTATTCGATCAAGTGGCAATAAACATGATGCGCGAAACATTATATTTTATGTATTACGTTCTTCATGTATTCCTCTTTCACAGATAAATCATTATTTTCAAAGCCCACGTATTTTTGAACTTGACTCCAACATTCATTAGCAATTTCCGTCGCTTTATCTGTACCATTCCTTAAAATTTCTTCTAAATATGACTGCTCTTTTATCAACCTCGAAAATTCTTCACGAATGGGAGTTAATTCTTGTATGAGTAAATCAGCTAACATTAATTTGTACCTGAATTACATGAAACAAATTTCGTACATGAGTCTGTTTATTGACGAGAAGATACAGGATCAAATGTATATCCCACATACTTGCCAGTATCTAGTCCTTGTGCTTCCAAACACACTTGGGCCGGTGTTTTTCTCGTAAGCATCGAATGAATGATGACCAAGTTTGAGACACCTGGTCGTTTCTCAGGTTCGTAAGTTACTTCCGACGTACAATCTGTTACTGCTTTTTTAACTTTCTCTAGTAGGATATCAGGCTCGTCTAATATATCGATTTTACTCTTCTGATTCTTATCTGATTTTGACATCTTTTTCAAAGGATCTCTTAGAGACTTAATACGTTGACTTGCATTCTCTGCAGAAATAATGGTTTGCATACATTCTATATAAGTTCATTGTATTTAGGATTTAATGTGATTTAACCATTACCAATTTACCATTAACCAAAGAATGTGGGATAGGAAAAGTATCGCCATATTTTTTGTTAAATATAGCAGCTAAATCTTGTGCCAATTGAATATGTTGAACTTGATCTTGCCCAACTGGAACATGAGTTGCCCTGTAATTTATGTATGTAATACTTATATAAGTAGGTTTATATTTTAAATATTTTTTTTAATAAATACCTGGTTATCTATACATAGATTTATATGTAGATTATCTAAAGTAATAATAAGCAGACTGTATCGATATTGTAGATAAAAACCTACCTATACAGTAATATATCTGCTGCTTGTAGAACAGGATAAATGTATAAACCTAATGGAACATTTTTTAGTGTTTCACTTTTTTCTTTAAACTGAGGTAAATGCGCTAATCTTGCTAAAGTTGTTATACATCCTAAAACCCAGCATAACTGAGTGTGCATAGCTACAGTAGATTGTTGAAATAATATACTCTTTTCTGGGTTTATACCACATGCCAATAATGTTGCGCACATTGTCAACACATTGTCATATAATCTTTTAGGATCCTAAAGTATTTGTTATTAAAAAAATTCTATTAACGTGTTTAATTCAGAATCAGGCACTTTCAAAACATACTCTACATAAAATTTATGAAGTAAAATGTTTAACATTATATATTTTACGACTATCTTACATGGTCTAAAGTAATAGAATGTAGATCCGCGATGCTCCAGAGAACATCTTCTCCATTATTTTGAAGCTCTACCCATTTCTGTATAGCACCAAAATAATTACCCAAATGTACGTTGCCACTTGGTTGTATTGCCGAAAATATTCTCCTTGGATAATTAATTTTGGAGCCCTACAATATATTTTGTTCCTTGATTTATTTAAAACCTTTTGCACGCAGTTTGAGAAAATACAATGACCGTTAACCTTTCGATTATATTCTCTGATATGCACATGATTAAAGCTTGTATTTTTAAATTTATTAATATTTTTCAATTTAGTAAACATTTTTGACAAACAATAATATCCTTCATGCTCATAAAGAAATCCAATTCTGTTGCACGTTACATTCGTATCAATGTACTGCATTCGTTCTACCATGAATTAAACTTTTTAGATGATGAAGTTTGTCTTTCGCATGCCATATTACACACACACACACACACACACACACACACACACACACACTTGTATATGCAAAGAGAGAGAGAGAGAATTTATTTCGTAGAAAAAAAATAAATATGTTGTTTTTTATCGATAATATATATACACATTATAATAAATATGTAAGTAAGTAATTAATTTTCTTTGATCGTTTTACGTGACAAACTGTTAGAGATGGCGTTTCACATTTTCATTTCATGTCGAAAAAGAAGGTACAACTTGCATCTCTCTGTGTCTCTGAGCCTGCGCTAATCATAGCATAGCACAGCTGATCCCGTAATGTCACATGCTGTAACGCGCTATACATTGCTAACTATGAAATAGTAACTGTGAGAGAACGGTATAAACACTTTAGAGCCTAACTTACACGCACTCGTAGAAATTCAAGCGTTTCTGATACGTGGTGAAGTATTTAAGAAAAAATGTACCAATAAAATTGTTCGTTGATGTTAGATGGGTGCGAAATATCGAGAGGATATCGACAAACGCAGAAGTATAAATCGTATGAACAATATCCGTTGGTTTGTGAGTCCTAATTGTTGAACTATAGTCAGCGGTTATGGTATATTTATCGGGTGTCTGGGGTATGGGAGAGACTAAATCGGAGTGCCACAGTACAAATAGTTCTTCCTCCTTTCTGCAGGAAAATGACGAAGAAGTTGCGTTGTTACCACTTAAAAATCAGGTGAGATGATACTTTAATATGCGTGTACGTCATCATTTCAACGAAATACCATTTCAAAATATTATTATTTGTTTTACCATTTTGTTTTTTAACTTTACAACCGTTAAAGCGTAACGCTTATTTTCGTTTTCGACATTAAAAATTATCGCTATTTAATACGTAGTGCGTCAATATATTTTATTATAAAGTAACAACTATTATTTTTGTTAGAAAGAACAATCGATTCATGTTATTTTCGTGTTTTTTTTATGGGTTCGTTTGAAAGTAGAAAGTTCATTTACAAATCAGATAAATAAATATAAAATAAACAGAAGAGAAAACAATAGATTAGGGATATTGTATTGGTCGCGTTATACCGAATGTGGTTATTTCAATTCTCTATAAATAAGAAATTCAAGAAGGATCTGATATTGGTAAAAATATTAAAATAGCAAATAGTCAAACAAAAGAATATATTGATTATACATTGGAACTTTAACACGATGCAAACTATATTTTTCTTAGGTTGGCGGACATACAAGATTACTTCTACTCAATCAAAATACTATTTGCAAACCATTAAACTGCAGGGAACTCGATTTTTATCAAAACATTCCACAAGATATACAGATCTTTGTTCCAAAATTTAAAGGTAAGGCATCTGATATAGTTGAAAAAAATGTATGTTCAAAATATGTGTATACAGCCATTAATAAATAGTAAATTAACATTGTAGTAAATTTGGTAAAATAAGAGCATTATTTTTATTAAAAAAAAAAAAATGCTTTTTTTTTTACTTGCTTAGGAGTTCTTCAAGCTTCCAATAGCGGCGAGATAACATTGGATAAACGGTACAGTCCTAGCTTCCGAGAACAAGATAATAGACAAGGACACGGTTCAACAAAAAGGAAACGAGATGATGTGCTAAGGTAAATCTCCTTAATTATAACATGACAAGTTTCTAATGAAAAATTTTATGTTCATATATATATGTTACCATAATCTTTGCGATATCGGTGAAACAAATAGTTACTGTACATTGTAGATGTTTTTGTAGATACCAAAATTAACTATTATAATCATTGTGCATAGGATGAAAATTCATCGCGATAACACTTTAACGGGAATATTAAAACCAGGAGTGCATTTGGACAATGCATCGAACAGACAGTGTACGTATAAAGTTATATTTGGAAAGAATATATGTATTGCAACGATATAAAATAGAAATAATTCATAAATTCAGTAAACATATTTGGATAGATTTAATTGTATTTTATCACTTTTATGCATTTCCTTTGTCATAATTTGCTTTGGAACGAAATATGTTAGAGAAAAATTTCAACGAATATTGAACATTTTTACCGAAACAATGTAACAGCGAACATATTTTACATAATCTCGTATACAAAACGTGTTACTTGTTCGTTAAAATAGATTTCCTTCTGCTGGAAAATATAACGTCCCAATATACTCACCCGTGTATATTGGATTTAAAAATGGGAACCAGACAACACGGTGACGATGCATCAGCCGAAAAACGTAATAAACAAATTGCAAAGTGTGCTGCCAGTACATCAGCTTCTTTGGGTGTTAGACTATGCGGAATGCAGGTTCGTCGTCAAATCGAAATATTTAATAAAAGATTTTTCTCGTTTTCGGTTCAATTAAAAGAATAATTGCGTAGCAACAATTGCGATATTAAACATAAGATAGTTTTTGTCAGAGGATCTAGATAAAGAATATTTTATAGGTGTACCAAGCAGATACCAATCATTACGTGAAAAAAGACAAGTATTGGGGCAGAGAATTGAACGAAGAAGGCTTCAAAGCAGCGTTGTATCGCTTTTTTCATAACGGTTTTTGCTTACGAACAATGGTTATCGAAAAAGTGGTGTCTCGGTTAGAACAATTACGACATGCCATCGAAAGGCAAAGTAGCTATCGATTTTATTCGTGGTAAGTACGTCGTCAAGTAGAATGATTATTGGAGTATCTTCATCTTCGTGTTTCTTACTAACACGTGAAAATATGTATGTATGCGTGTATGCACGCGCACGTGCGTGCGAGCGTGCGTGCGTGAGTGAATGCGTTCGTACAGGTGTCTTAAAGGCAATCTGTGGTATAACCGAAGGTAAGAATGTCATGATCGGAATGTTATTAATTGATCGAAACACATATTCCAGTTCGTTATTAGTTGTTTACGAGGGTTGTCAAACGGACGATTTGTCGGGACTCGGCCGGTCTTCGTCTACGTTACGAATGGAAGAAGAATCGAGCGATTCTAGTTTCATCGACGACTGTCCACATAGTTCGGAAGCGTGTTACGACGGCGATACAAGTAATAGTTCTACAGACTGTAATCTTTCGATTCAAGAAGAAATCGGCCGAACGACTTTACACAGGGAATTTGACGAAACAACATCTAGAGAGGCGAAAAATATAACGAATTTTTATCCCACAAGGTTCGTGATCAATTATTTTTGTTCGATTATTAGCAGGTAACAAACGTTAGTTAACATTTTCGGAAGGGAAAAATTGGTCGTTCCGTTTCGACCGATCGGATCCTTGAAATTTAACAAAATTTCGTATTTTAACGAGATCGTTAGAGTGACGTTGATAAATGAACGTACGTCGTACGATCGATTCGGCATGGAACGACCGAAAAGTTAATAGGTTCGTAACGTTGCGATCATTTATCGAAGTTAAATGGCTTTTTTATTCGTTTGTCTGTTCCGGTATTTGTCTCTATAAACAATTTATTCTTTTATCAATTGACATCGAGACGACCTGTCGCAACGCTACGAATTTAACGAATAATTTTCATTTCATTTCGGATATTCTGTTGATTCTACCTATGAAAATTATATAACATTATAATATATGTAGATACTGATAACTATAAATAATTTGAATCCATATATAAAGTTAACCCTCTAAAAGTTTTATTAGTAAAAAAGAGCTGATAATGTAAGTTATCTGATGAAGTATGTATATACGTTTACTGGTTTACTCGTCGATGAATCACGTTATCGACATGAATGAAGTAAATGAAAAAAGCGAACTGGTATAATATTATACTTACGTAGGTAACATACTCCATCAGACAATTGGAGGGTTATTTGTTGCAATGATTCCTATACATTTCTAGCTTACATCGATCATGCTTTTCGTTAAAAATCGGTTCAGAGGAAATATCGCATCTTCGGTATCGCGTTCATTCGTAATCGAATGGAATAGTTGATAGATAAGGACGCATATGTACGCGTTGCATAAATACAACGATCGTGATCGATCGATCGAAAGTGCGATATTTTCTAAATTTAAGCATGTATATTTCTGTGTACCGTCAATTTTTAGAAAACTGCTCTTTATTACGGCCGAACTATAATAAAGCGCGGCAATACCAGTCCCTAATCGAGCCCGATCAGTTTCTTCTTACTAGGGGAGGATCAGAGCTGAAAGTGGTGGATTTCAAAATCCTTTCGTAGGTATATCGTTGCTCATGCGTACAGTACAGCTCTACGAACGTTGCTAGGTGCGAATTTATACATATATCGATGCATTAAAGCGAAAAGAAAATCGAACGAAGAACGTAAATTAAAAAGGGTCATTTATCTTATTTCATGCATACACGTATCGTAGTTACATTTATGCACGAAGCATACGGGTATACGTGTGCGTATGCGAGTGTCAAGTATTTGTATATATCTGATATATAATCTTATACTTATATATCTGGTTTCTTACGAAGAGAACACGCGTATGCGCGCACGAACGCTTCGTACGCCTAGTTTTTCTATTTAAATCGGTTGAAATTCGGTGTTTGCAATCGGGACAAAGTATACAAGAGGTTCGGTAAACGGTGAATTTCCCAGATCCTCGAGAGCCTTCGGAGTTTACATTTTCTTCTAACAATCTAGCATCTAGACTATAGCGAGGGAATCGCGTCACTGTAAGAAAAGTCACCGTTTACTCGGCATCCTGTATACGTGATTCGCAGAATGACGCGACGAACAGTTTTCAAACGTTACTCGAACGAACGATAAATAAACGAAACGGTCGTAGATCGCATCGCACGATATCTAGTGACTGGGGGTGCGTAAAAACTTTACTACGTTTTATCGCGAAATAAAAGTTCTCGAATACGATTTGAACTTGTATGGTAAACGCTCACCTCCTTTGATTTCGGTTCGTTGAGCTCGCGGACTAAGAAACAAGTAATAGAATTTTCATAACGTGAAATTTTTGCGTGCCCCGCAAATTATACGTAGTATCTGATTCATTTGGAAAAAGCAAATTAATTAAACGACGTTGATAACAACGATAATACCGATAACAAGAACAAGAAGAAGAACAGCAGCAATAATAATAATGAATTCGTAATAATCGTTATCTCAGCAGCGAGGAGACCGTTTTCGTCGAATCTACGAACAGCTTGATCGACAAAATGCTCCGAACTCCCAGATACGAACAGTGGATGCTTTACGGTACTGCCAATGAGGAGTTTTGTTTCGGACAGAGTTCGGCTAGCGTGGAAGATGTCGGCTCCGACACGGATGTTGTATCGGATTGTGGGCCTAAACGGCAAAGGCACGAACATCGGTTGTTTCGTCTTTACGACAAAAAACAGGAAGAAATCGAATATGCCAGTGTGTCGAACAGGTAGAACGGAATTTAATAGCGGTAAAATTGTTATCCGAAGAAAAAAAATACTACAGGTTCTTTCGTTCTTTTTTGCTTCCAGGTATACGTCCTACCCTTGTCGGACGAAGACGAAAGAAAAACCGCAAGAAGCTCGTGTCGATGTCAGAATGATCGATTTTGCGCATACGACGTTTATTCGTGGTTCAAACGTGGCTTGTAACTCGAGTTCCATGGTCCACCAAGGGCCAGATTGTGGTTTCTTAACCGGTCTCGACAGCTTAAGGCGCCTTCTCCTCGAAATTTTAACCGAAGGTTGACAAGTCTCTTCCTCTTTTTTTTTTTTCTTTTCAACTCGAATGTATTTATTATGTCGTATATACAGGGAAACACAGGTGGACCGATAACGGTGAAATGTTTCGCGGGTATCGCACAAACGGACACATGGCTGACGAATCTCGCGTTCGTATCGAAGACACTGGCGACCAAGTTTTCAGTACGAAACGTGGTTGGTTTCCGTGAGACCGATCTGTACATACGTGTTTCAAACGTTCCATCTGTGCGTGTCGTGAACATTCGTGAAATACGCAGCTCGAGTGTCGCGTAAGCACAGTTTCGCTAAAAGTCTGCGAATCGGCTATAATTGATATTGTATTATGTACACGCGCACACGCGTACGCCCGTGTACCACTTAAGGTGTTCCACTTAATTCGAACATTTCAAATATTTCCGCAGTTGTTGATACTCCGAAATGCTCGAGAGAAAAATCGCGCTGTACGATAAGGGAAAAACGCGTTGATAGGCGAATTATTTTCAAGAATTTCTCAATTGCCGATTCTGCGTCCTTTAATATGACGAATCATTAACAATTACAAAGATATTTGTTAACGAGTCCTAATCTTTCTGTGAATGCGTCATGTATGTGTATATGCATGTGCGTGTGTGTGTGCGTTACGCGTATGAATATGAACGTATGTATGTATGTATGTATATATACGTGCACTGTGATACGTATTTCTGCGTGAATCCTGTTACGGGAGTATTGTATTATACAGAGACAATTCGTTGACTAGTGACCACTTCGATAAATGCCGAAAATGTCTGAATCGCGCCTCTCGCGCGGTTGTGCTAAAGAAAACTGGACTCTACAGTTATATGTACGTAATAATCGATCAGATTCTGCATTTCTTCCGCTAGCCAACGAGTTATATTTGCATAGTACATAATTAACGATTGCAAACAAGCTGCAGAACCAACAGTTCTTTTTAAACGAACGTCCGCGATTTATCGTTTCTAGCGTCACGATAGCTAATACGAAGAATCATAAATAGCAAATTGAAAGAGATGATTTTACGAAAGAGAGGAGAAATGAAAAGAAAATTTCATTACAAAACCGTTTTAGCGAGAAGAACGAAATATTCCGTTATGAATCCTTCTCTTACTTCTTCGTCGACTTACTACAACGAAAATAGCGTTTTCATTTTTGACCATTGACCAATAATTCGCGTTGCCGTAGACATTATCGCGTGTATTTATTTGTATTATTAACAAAGTGGAACTATTTAACGCCGCGTTTAACGCTAAACAATATTGTTATGAAACGTTCAATTGTCGACATTTGCCGTATATTACGAATGGAAAACTATGAAATGCGATGCGACTGTAAAAAATAGAAATAAAAGTAAAATATACTTAAAATTAAGAGAAAATCTGAATTTCTTGATCGGAAATACGATGCGAATGTATTCGGAATTTTATACAATACGTGTATAAACAAAGAAAACGTCGTGGCTGAAAAATGTCTAAAACGAAACAATTATGCTCTTTTATTTAATGTAAAAATATATTCATAATTAATGATAACTATTCGATTGATGATAGTTGTTGCATAAAAAAATAACGATATATACGTAATATACAACGTTATGGTATACATAAACATCTGTTAGTAAAGTCAATTATCTACTTTAAGTGTGTATAATTTACAAATACAGTGGAAAGGAACTGCGATGAAAAATAAAAAAGAAAAAGGAAAAACAATATTACAACTAATAGTTAATTAATATTTATAAAATTAAATTTTCGCAGACATATTATACATCTTATTCATTTATTCCTAATCAGGTCTCCTGAATCTTAAATATTGTAATCTTCATCGGTATCCATAGATTTTAAGTCCCTTTGCTTTAACTTTGCATACTCTCCTCTTACAAGAATATTCGAATCTATTGAAACTGTATTTGCAAATTCTTGTTCTGACAAGTACACGTTGGTTTTAATCAACGATGCATCGACTACATCCTTTTTAATCGGCGTTTCGTTTAATTTTTCTTTCGATTCACTCGTTAAGTTTTCATTCGTATGATCGTTTCTTTTCGAACACTTTTCCCGATCATCATCTTTGACAGAGAAATTCTTCGTCGAACCGTCATTGTTAATATTTGATATATCACTTATAACTTTGGTATTAGTTCCATTAATCGTATCGGTTTCTCGTTTCTCGCGTTCATGATTCTCCAATATGTCTCTGTGAATTATCTGGACGTTTTCCTTCGATTTATTTACCGATAAAACAAACGCACTATCGATATTCGACTGATTTCGCATTTGCAATGCAATAGGCAACGAATATTCGTATTGCGTGTCTTGATTCTCAGTCTTCCAATTTGTTTTATCCTGCGAATTCGGAGCCATATTCTGTGATATTCCTTTGGTTCTGTCCGCAGCTTTATCATTTTCTTTATTATTATTTAATTCGTTAGGAGAAACGGACTTTTGTGACATCCGTTTTGTCAAAGCATTCAAAATAGGTCCCTGCGGTAATTCGTTTGAATTACTTACTCCCACCCTTAATTCTTTCGTTTTCTTCTCATCGTTTATGTCGTTATTGATTCTTTTATTATTTATGTCTTTGGTAAGGACAGAACTTTCGTTTAAGATCAGTGAAATGCTTTGTTTCTTACTTATATTTTTAGCTTTTGCAGGAACGCGTAATTCATCCTTACTTTCTGAAATTTTACTTTCAAAATTTTCATTATACGCGTCTTTAAACTGTTCGTTTAATTTTACCCCCTGAAATTCTGCCTGAGAAATTCTACCGGAGTTGATTTCCTTATTTCTGTTTAAAGATTGTCTTTCGTTATTACTACTTAAGCCCGTAAAATTCCTTTTTATGTGCGAAACCGGCTTTCGGACATTGGAAATTTTCAATTTCTCCTCATTTTCCTTTGGCTCTTCTGCTGTATCTTTCAGTATTTTTTGCTTTTGTCTTTCAATTTCTTGTTTCTGTTCTTTTAAATCCTTTAATATTTCCTTTTGTTCTTGTATCATTTGCAATTGTTCTTGCTTGTGTTTTTCCAAAGTTTTTCTCAGTTTTTCGTGTCTCTCGGCAGCCATTATGTTAGCAGCTTCTGCGTCCGCAGCTAACTCTGATTCTTCTTTTTTAATTGCATCAGAATTGATAAGATTATCATTTTTTTGAATATCTATAAAATGTTCTTTCATTTCCGTATTTCTTTCTTCTGTGTTTGGAATGATAGATTCTGCCGTGGATGCGATATCATTTTTCATTAACATCCCCGATTTCTTCTGAAAACTTTCATCCAACGTTTTTATCTCTTCTACGATGTTCTTAATCATTGGAGCAAAAGTGATTACTAAATTTCCAACAGATTTTTCTGTTTCTACTGCTGTCTTTTCCGTCACAATTATACGCTCAACTGGAATCGGTGGTTCTTGTCGTATATCGTTTGCCTTTAGCTGCAATGATTTGTCAATAATATCCAAATCCGATAAGTGATCTGCTTTCTCTGGAAATTATCAATTATTTAATATTATTATTGCTATCGTTATCTCGTTACCGTTATGTTAGCTTAGGTTTAAACAAAAATATTTCATACCTTTTATCATATTTGGAAGAAGTTCAGGATTATTAGGTACATTTGCCATTGCGTTGATATCATCCTTGTTCAAATTTAATGGTAAATTATTAATTTGATTGAAAGGTTTATTGGTGGCTATTAATACTTTTGTACTAGTAGATTCTTCTAATGCATATAAATTTGCATATGTACTCAAAATCATGATACAAATACCAATAAATAAAATTGCCTAAACACGTATTAAAGAAAACCACCTTTATGATACATGATTAAACAAGAATGTATGTAGTTCATATACTTGTTTAATAATCTTACTTGTGCTAATAATCTTTCGTTAGTATGTTTGCTACTGATAGATATGAAGAATATTGCCGGAAATATCAAGCATATCATTACACCGATCGTAGATCCTACCAAACCAAGAACAAATTCAATATTTGGTATTAAAATTCCAGTGATTAGGGAAACAATCACGATCGTAACGGTAAGACATCTAAATCTTGTTTCCGGTAAATAATTGATAGAAGGTTCATGAGTGTAAACCTGTGGAAAATTATTAATTAGTAGTAATCGGATAATATTATTTAACTATTATTACCTAAGGAAACTATATAAATTATACGAACCCTGCGAAATAAAAGAGAATTTAAGCTTGCACGACATGGAAAAATGACTAAGGGGAAGCTAAATGCGATGGAAAACACAAATCCCATTTTAATCATTTCAGATGACAAGCTGGGTTCAAAACTCATCAGTATATTACCTACAAATTTAATACTAAATTAATAAATTCTGAGATGAACAAAAAGAAGAAAGGAAGAGGATGCTTATAGAAAATGTTATAAATACCTGTAAAAGGTTGCGTGCAAAATGCTATGTAACCAAAAAATCCGACGCATAAATACACGATTGTACATATATTTAATGCACCTCGTACAACTTCGTTCATTTTTTCCAAGGACACATTTGGAATAGTTTCATATATTTCGAATAACTGAGTTTGACAGAATAAGGCCATGGAAAATATAGGTACACACTGAAGTATACCGGATGGTTTCCAATAATATACATGGTCATACCAATCTCCAGCAAAAATATGCTGCATAGATTCTGCTACTATCTAAAACGAACAAGAAATATTTCGTATTAATATTTCATATTTTGAAAATTTCTATTTACGGTAAAATTAATAATAAACTATTTACCTTCAATACAAGACAAAGATAGAAAATGATGGTAGCAGTACAGAGACTAGATAAACTGTCGATATTTCTAAGTAATCCTAAAGGTAGAACTATAAAAACACTTGTTGTTACGAGTAAACTAGTTCTGATATCTTCTGGATTTTTATCTATCACTTTCCCAACAATTTGTGGACCTAAATCGCCCATAACAACAAAAAAAGCAATACATGTTCCAACAAGGAAGCCAATGATAAATAGTTCCACTAAAAATTTTCCCATATGACCAAATGCATGAAAAGCCAAAAGTTCAAAGTTTCGTCTTCTTGACATTACAGCTGACTTAATCAGAAAGTGACAAGCAAGTCGCGATAAAATGCTGCTTATTATTAAAACCAAAGTAGCTAAAACAATACCGCATTGCTTGAAACAAAAGGGCATTGCTAGAACGCTTACTCCAATAATGCTGTTCGCAAGGGTCATAACATATGATAATTGTGAAATCATTTTAACAATTATTGCAACAAACGGTGTTTTCCAATGTATACAATAAATTAGGTATAATATGGATTAACTCTTGAAATGTTCAAAACCTTTGGTTCGATTGATTGTCAGATTTTCCTTTTCCGAATTTGTTATTTCACCAAATAAGAATGTTGCTTTACGTTACAGAACCTTTGAAACTTCACATTGTTTATAAATAATAATTGTGCATTATGTTCAAAACATAAGCTGTCGTGATAACGAGGTTAGGATTGTGATTTGTTTGCATACCAGACTATATATTACGTGTAAAATGAATAGTATAATTTGTTATCATATTGAACGTATCATTATTACGATTTGAATGTCACATTTTGGTTAAACGTCACATTATTTTTTACAGATGTAGGTAGTCAGAAGAAACCCTTTATTGTCCACTTGGTTTCTTGAGACTGTAACCATTTTGATTCGACAAAAAAAAATATTCTATTAATTTCCATAATGAAAAAGTGATTATATTAATACAAGTAATAGATTTCTTTATTTTTTTTATTATAAATATTTAAAAACATTCGTGTTATTCATGTTTGGACATAAATATATATATGTGTGCATATAAATATATATGTGTATATATATGTATATATACACACATATATATGTATATATAGACAAAGAGAAAGAGAGAGATGACATATATGTATATACATATATATGTATGTATGTATGCATGTGTAAATATATATATATATATATACACATGCACGCACGCACACAAACACACTTTTATATATGTATATATATATCATACTTGATTTATTCCAAATCGACTTATACATACGCAGTATTATATCGAATTTGTTTTTCATCTTGTGGATAATTAATTACAGTAAAGTTAAATTCTTAATTACAACTAGATAAATAGACACATTTCTCTTTCGATTAATTATCTGTCATCGTGTAACTAGCCGAATTTCATCTGTTTTTAAAATATTGTTGAGGTGCATGAAGTTAAATTTTATGTACACAAAATTAATGTATATTTACTCTCGTACAAACGTTTAAACTAATATAATTGGAGGGTAACAATTTTGTAGACATGTTAGTGAGACTTCTGTTTCCTCTTTTTTCCTTTGAACGAGAGTGTTTGGCGACCTCACAGTGTACAGATATAAATCGACTTTGTCACGTACATAATTTTCAACTCTTAATAACTACTTTTTCTTAATTTACGATTAAAATTCTAGAGTTATACTTGAATTCAATATATTCATCAACCGTCCTAACTTTTTCATACTTTCTTCACTGATCATTCAATTTTTCACGTATAAAATAATATACTTTACATATGAAAAAGAATGTTGTTGTTACTGTTATTATTACTATAATTATTATTCTTATTATTATTTAGTATTGCATGTAGAATTTCGTTTAAATCTGATTTTACGTTATGTACAAGAATGATAAAAAAAATTTGTTAATTCATAATACTTGTTTATGGTATAAACGTATCTATTTCGAATAAAAATGGTTTTCAGTAAAGCGTTTAATCAAAATCCTTGTAAATAATGAATAAGCTAAAGAATTCGATCGTCCAAAATATTAGGACTTGTATATTTTTGCACGATTCCTCAGAACGTGCTATCCAATAAATGTAAATATCTTGAAAATCTGTCTTTATTTTATGATCTTGGTAGAAACTTCAAACAATAGCTATAAAATGTGCAGTTTTTATCGATATGAAAATTTTTTCTCAAGATATCTATTTATTTCATTTGACTAGTTATGCTTGTTATATGTGAATGTTAAGACTTTAACTTGATCATAAAATTTGACTAATTATTCAAGATATCGCTCTTTACATGATTTCAAAAATATTACAAGAACTAACTTCGGGATATATTTGAAAATTTAACGAGATAATAATCAAAAGTGTAGAGCGTTTGCATTGTCGATTACACGGCCATACGTGTACATGATAATAATGTCGCGTGCCACGAATTCAATCGACATATATCGACTATTCTATCGAAGTACATGCTTTTTAAACAAAATAATAATGACATAATGATGTTTTAGAATCGTATACCGAGTTCGAGGCAGCGAACATCTGTACATCATACGCTTTTTTTTTTGTTTTTACTTAAGTTACCTACACTTATTTATACTTGATTTAAATAAGGATTTTTCCAAATTTTTTAAATATTCCAAAACAAAAACCGTTTATCAGGGATTCGCTCCAGCATCCTTCTTTGTTTCCTCGTTCGTAGCATTTGTTTTTTCATCCTTTTCATTTTCTATAAAATGTCATTGTTTTATTATAAGAATAATAACAATCAAAGCATGTGTAAGATATAAGAAAATTAAATATATATACCTTTAGGTTCCGACTTTATGTCTTCTTCTTTTTTGAGATCACTTTCTATACCTTCTTGTCCTTTTTCTAGACGAGGTCGTTTTCTAGAACCCTTTAAGATGAAAAAAAAAAATAATTGAAAATTAAGTATAAAAGAATTCAACGTAGATGTAACATTATACTTGTTAGGTAAAATAGAAATATGAAATATTAATATTCACAAACACATTACCTTGAACGACCTATTATCCCTTCTACCGCCTTCTCCCTCTTCTTCGCTATCACTATATTCATTTTCGTGTTGTATCCTTTTATCTAAATCTCGTTGTGGTAATCTCTCGTCCGGATTTACTTTTTCCTCTGCCTCTGAATCTTCAATAACTGCTCCATCTTCTGGAATTGGTTGAACTTGTACACCCGGAGCATGAGGTAACATTCGCAAATTTTCAAATAATCTTGTCCTATAAAGAATATCGAGTGTGTCGAATAAAGAACAATCGAAGAACATTCCAATGTTTAACTATGTTCGTAGTACATACTTAATTTTTTCAAGGTATTCAGGCGTATTTTGATTTGCCATATTTGAAGGACTAATATGCAATTTAAAATCGGGTCCAAAATATTCAAAATAATCATTATAAGGTAATTCGTTCGCAATTTCAGAGCCAAGAGCTACCGATGTTTCGTATGTCCAACATCTAGATACATTTCTGATCGTGTATCCGCCGCCACCAACCATTAAAAAAGGTAGATTATATTTTTTTACAAATTCAACACATTTTCCATGACCCCTCACTGTTAAATTGAAACAACCTAATCGATCTCCTGCAAATAACGCGTTAGATTGAAACGTTGTTAGTTAATATACATATTTAATTTTCTTATCTTCTATCTTTGTTTATTGAATAATTACTTTCATTTATGTATAAATCTGTACCTGTTAATGAATCGGCACCACATTGTAAAACAACCGCGGAAGGCTGAAAAGTTTCCATTACTTTTGAAATTATAGGTACAAATATTGATTCATAACTTTCATCGTCCATACCATCTCTCAATGGTATATTAACTGCATAATATTTTCCCTATAATAAAATAGTCCCTGTGTAAACATAATGAAATACAGCTAGCCATACTTGTTACCGTTCAAATTTTTACCTTTCCTGCACCAATATCACGCAAATCGCCAGTACCAGGAAAATATTCACCATATTTATGAAAAGAAACTGTCATTACTCTGTCGGTAGTATAAAAAGCTTCTTCTACACCGTCCCCATGATGGACATCAATATCAATATATAAGACTCTTTGATGATATTTGAGCAATTCCAATATTCCTAACACAATGTCATTTACATAACAAAAGCCAGAAGCTTCACTTTTTTTGGCATGATGTAAACCACCGCCCCAATTTATACAAATTTCTGAGGCTTGTTTGTTAAGTTTTACAGCAGCAGCTACGGAGCCTCCAGCTGATAATTGACAAAACTCATATAATCCATCAAAAACGGGGCAATCCTCTCCTACATTAACTAAAGAAACGATTAAATTTTATTATATGTTTTAAGTAAAATACCATTATTTTTTAATTATAGTTACAAATATTAATTTTGAAACCTTACATCGTTGCATTTGTTTGTTATACTCTGACATATTGTCAGGCCTTATTGATCTTAAAAATCTGATATATTCATCGCTATGGAATTTTGTCATTTCATCTGCGGTAGCTTTATGAGGTCGCTAAACATAGAAAGAAAAAGTAAAAACAGGATATTAAATTATAAATATTTACATAATATAATATTAATGTTTCTTATATTTTTAGATTCAACACAATATATATGTGTGTGTGATAAGCGAAAAATAAAAATATATTACTACATTGGATCCTTACATATATTTCCATTTTCCTATAAAGACCATAATTTAGGAGTAAATTATGTGTCATCCTTATACGATGTGGTTTCATAGGATGTCCTTGTCCATAATAATAATTTCCAATATCACCTGGAGAATAATTTTTTTACATGTTTTAAGTAATTTATTTTAATGGATTAGAATATACGTAAAAACTAAAAACTGTACGATTTAAATGAACAATATGTTTAAAAAAAACTGTAAAACTAAAGTAAAAACGGTATGTTTGGAATTGTAGTGTAGTACGGTCGACCGAAATGTACTTGAGAATCTCTCGTGCAGTTCACGAAAAAAGAGGAGTACGGACGATATTGACAATAAAAAATTCTATTAATTTAAAGATTTATGGAAGATTTTAAGTAAATTCATAAATCTGCCCTACCAGGCTTAAATCAATCATAAATTTTTTCCATTTTTTTCAAATGTTCCTCCATAACCTACAATTAATTTCTTTTATTTAAAATGACCAATCACGGTAAGATAATGAAATTATAATGTTAATAAATGAAAGTAATTTTAATAGTATAAATATTACACGTGGCTCTTAATTATAGCATTCGTAGTTCATAATTTATATTATGAAGAGGGAAATTATTCGACGTTGATACATAGGGTATTAAATTTTACAACAAACATTTAAATAGATACAAGATAGAAAATCTATAGCTTACGTAGGGAAGTAATTTGGAAAGAAATAAAGTAAAAAAGAGGATATTCAGTGTTGAATGAACGGCAACTGTTTGAATATCTAAGTAAAGTAAAGCTGACGCTCTTTCTTAGTTCAAGTAAGGTAACACGAAGTTACATTTGCGAATCTCTCGCTTTAACGCGTGTAAAACCGTGCGAAGACGTCGAAAGAATACTAAAAATAATGAATTTCGTAGGAAAAATTCATGCATTTTAGAGGTTTTCAATCTTACAAAAACTTATTAGAACAAAGGCGCATTGAAAGATACTGGTTGATGCGAAATAAATATATGGTACGTGATATAAGCGCGGATAGCACAAACACATTTTGACAATCTCTCCGTGTGTGTGCGATGTTTTCGCGGGATTACAATATATTAAGAAGTTTTTGAATTTTTTCACTCACTGTCATAATAGTAGCAGACCCGCTTCTTACTGTGCGGTAAAGTTGACATTTTCACCGATATCTTTCTATTAAACTGTAAAATATTTGATATGAATCAAACGCGAACCGCGGAGTGTCGCGGTATCCAGCGACAGGACACAGCGTCACTAGATCTTTCATTTACGCATGCGCAACCTTCCATAGTTAAAGTTTCAAATTTGTCGTATAGGTGTCACTATGTTCGAAAATGAATTTAACCATAAAGCGAATAATATCTAGAATAGATAGGTTGTTGCTAAAATGAAATTAGAACCATCAAATTCGTTCCGTCATAAACGGAAATGAACGAATATTACATGATTTATTGAAAATTAATTTTTTAAAAGAGGGTAATAAAACACGTATCAAATACGGATCGTTTCTAGGTAATAATTGTTTTCTATATTTTCTCGTATACGTAAGTATATATGTTTTCACAATACTTATATACTCATGTATATGTATGTGCAGACACACACACACACGCGCACACCTACACCTCTAAATATTGTCGAAATATACGATTACAAAAAAAAACAAACAAAAAAAAAAAAAACATTAATTTCAAAATATGTCATGCTTATACAAATATGTGTATAGCGAAATAATGTATAAAGTTAAAATGTATAGTTTAAAGGAATTTCTGTTAATTAAAAAACCTGTGAAATGAATAAATTAATATTACATGTTTTACCTAGTTTATGTAGAGAAAAGATCCTCTACTAAAAATAAAGGATAAAATCTCGAGTAAGTATATAAGATAGATAAGAAAAAAATTGCTATTGGAAAAGATATTTTCCAAATATATATACAAATAAATATACAAATAAATCTTTTATTTCAAAGCTTTATGCACAATTTTGCTCTACAATCGAGTAGGTAAAGAAAATAATGTTGCTTTAAAGTTATTCTACGATATCTAAATGTCCGTGAACAAAACTATAATATTGATGAGTTGCTAAAATGTCGGGTACGCAGTATTCTTTATACCGGAGTACACATAGCAGATCTGTACGTATTATTAATTGCAGAACGCGCGCACGGGTGAATGTCATTTACAGTTATTATTTGTAAAGTACGCATACGCGCATTAACGAATCTTATTATGCTTACCGTTAAAAAGAAAATGTAACATATAGAAAAATCGTATCTTATTTTAAACGGAAAGTACAAAAAAGGATTTCAATTCGATTCGCTGAAAACAACAGCATCGATTTTGGCAGTATAATTTTCATCGCCCCAAATTAATCACATAATTAGTTACTAAATACTGATGTATTTATGAAATATTAAAAAATTTAACGATACTGGCGTTGAATGAATACGAACGATAAATACATCAACACGATTAATCTTCAGTTTTCACTTCTGTTGCTGTTTTATTTGCTTTCGTTTTTTTTTTTTACTTTTCAATTTGTTTTTGCAAATATATCTCTCTATAATCGAAAAATCCTGCTACAACCACGACTCACCAGTAAAGTATCTTTTACAATTTGCTTATATTTTAATCGCGTAATAGTCTTTTTTTTAACATTACGAATGTTAAATCATTTAATTCTCTTTTTCCTCCGAAATTTACATTCAATGTGTTTCGCTTTAAAGACGGGTTTCATTACAGAATTTTCGCTTTCCTGTTACGCAAGTATTATAAAGTAGAAAAATACATACGCAAAAGATGCGCACACAAGATGTATAAAAACTGACCAAGTAATTATAAAAATACATAGGTAAAAACAAATTTCGATGATTATTTGAAGTAAATGCAACCGTTAGAAAGAAAAGAACAGGACGTATCTGAACGGGGAAAAAAGTGCCATAGAAATAGCTGCCGAGTAAACAAGAAACAAATAGCAGGCACGATAAAAATTTATGTAAATCAGATAACGTAGGAGCGTCATTTTTGTTACGCGCTAAAACATATATATATATATATATATATATATATATATATATATATTTCCTTCATACGTATAAACGTAGAAAGGAATATAACAATAATAATTTGAAACGATATATTTTCACGAAACAAATATCCGCTATTTTCGACGGACGCAAACACTTAGTAATTTTCCGAGCAGTTCGATAAAGTCTTTTGGCAATATTTCGATCCACCGTAAATTCCGTATATCATTATTATTACTATCTTTGTTGTCGTTAAAAACGAAGCCCATATTCCTTAAGGTGGTAGATTTGAGAAAAGCAGAAAAATATCCATTGCTGACCGTTAGCGGAACAAGCGCGTTCGATAAGGGTATCTCGAAGAGGATAAAACGGGTCTAGAAGCGCGTAACTTTGAAACTCGATTCGTACCGGTATATCGATCAGGACCGATTACGATACACGTTAGGAAAAGATAAAGTTTCGTAGAGGCAATTTCTTCGAGCGAAGAGCAACATTTTTGAAACGTTACCGTTTGCCAAGTGAACAGAGAACGCGATACAGTGAATATAGGATCGACATCGTTGGTATCTCCGTTGGTCGTGTTTCGCGTATATACCTCTGTTGTATCTTTATTTTCTAAACGGATAGGAAGACTATGTGGAAGCTTTCACAGCGAAAAGAACTTCAAAAAAGTTTGCGGAGGAATCGGAACATGAAGGGACGCTCGATCGACGTCTGCTAATTTTTCTTGAAATGCCGGATCTTGGTCCGCGATACAGGGATGGCCCAATGATCGCCAGAACAAGCAACGACAGTTGCGACACAACTGAATCATTTCTGCGTATTCTTCTCGCAAACCGAACGATCTGTAAGCATTCCCATCGAATCATTCCGTGAACGTAACATATTTACCAATGCGGATAATCAACTGAGCAATCGTCGTGTTTTTCATCTTATTCTCAGAGGGTTAACAGGACAACACGTACCTTCGAGCAACGGTGAATATGGTTTTCCAGTCTTTCCCAGGATTGTTTTGTCTAGTGGTGGCTATTTGCTGGGGCGTAAAATGGTACTGAGCTAGTTCGCGCCAGATTCTTTGTTCCTGCGCGAGAACGGCGAGGTGTTCGCATGCTTCCGACGAAGCTTCGATGTCCCGTGGATCGCTAAGTCGAAGAAGTACTTCTCGCCGACATTCGGCTGGCAAATCTGACCACTGCGGTTGTTGTTGCTCGTCCGGCTGAAAACAATAACGATATTACTCGTTGTGTTATTTAGATACGTAGTAATAATAATAATATTAATAATAATAATAATAATAATAATAATAATACCTGAGTTATGGTGATAGACGAAGCGATTTGCAAGATTCTCTCAAGGGCAGCTTTGTGTTTTTCCCATAAAATCACCGAACCTAAAGGTCTACCGCCCCAACAGCAGCCCGCGCTAAAAGCTCTCACTCTTTCGATCAGACGACGAAGCCTTCCGGTTTGTTGTTGCGACAACGATACTGCGAAATAGAAAGCACGCGAACGTAAACGTTTCGAAATCGAAACTCGTTTACCTCGATCTCGACAAAGATCAAGATCATGCTCGCAGAAAAATTCACTACTTATTCGATTCGACGAAAGCAGAACGTTTACCTTCTAACGCGACTTCTTCTAACATATTGAAGAGGACCCGCTGGGCGCATCCGCTGAGTCCGCCCATTCTGTGACTGACCAGGAGATCCAGCAGTCGTACGATATAATTGAAACGACGACAATCATGTACCGCGGACAAAAAATCCAACCTTTTCAGCGCATCGCTCAACCCGTTGAAACCAGCGATCTACGAATTTAAACAGACATTACGTCGCGATCCTTCCTTCTTTTCGTGTTCGGTCGACGTTTAATCGCTGCATTTCGAGCCTAAGAATAGCGATCCAATGAAAGGGAAAATCGAGGAGACGCCACATCGCTCCACCTCGCCACCTTCTTCACCGCGTCTTCGTTACTTTCTTCCCGTTTCTCCGTTTTTCCTCGGTTTTTCCTCCGTCTTTCCGTTTCCGAGTAAGCTCTCTTTTCTTCGCTTTTTCATCCATACGCGATAGACGTCCTACGTACGACCTTCTTAACTAACAAATTCTATTCCTCCCCTCTTTCATCAGGCCTGAGTTAAATATAAACAGCGACGGAACAAGTCACTCACCTCGCGTGTACACTTTAGCGTGATGCGGCAATGCGGCTGGACGATGCTTTCTAAAATTATACGAAAAGAGATTTTCTCGAAGCGAGACGAAACCGGTAAGCGGAGGGAAAGTACAAGTGCAGAACAACTTACCTTTCTTTTTGTCCTTCTCCTTCTTGTCGAGCGCGTCTTTATCGCCTCTGTAAAAAGAAACGAAATCAAAATTACCGAGTGTTCTCCAAGTATTTATCCGATTTCGCGCGTTATCCGTAATCGCTAATCGAATAGCGACTCGGTGTACTCTATTCCATGGAGATAGACATTTGATGACCTTGATCTCTCGGATTCAGAACCTGAATCTCTCGTTTTACGGCGAACATGGAATGCGCCTGATCGAGTTATCCGAATATCAGGGTGGATCGAGATATCTCTACCTGCTTGCTTACCTCTGCCCTCTGTATCGTGCACAGTGTACGAGTCAATGACACTCTCCGCGCCTTGTTCGTTACGCGACAAACAGAAAAGACCGATACGCGTAGGTGTAAATACTTTTTCACTGACGATTTAAGTAAACAAACAGTGAACGTTACTCGTTAAAAGTGCTATTCACAAGTGTATCGTCGTCGTTTCTTTCAACTTATGTAAAAATCATATTCTCTCGCTCCCGATGGGAATAACTTTTTACTCGACTTATCGTTGGAATATGCACGAAGAAAAAGGAACGATACCAGTTCACCGATCTGGATATGAAACCGAACCTATCGCGGACTGATACGTTAGAATCGCGAAAAAAATATCTTCCGTTTATACATATACGCGATGTACATCGATAATAATTTGTAACGTTACATAACTGTTGGTACCAACCGTCGTGAATCGCGTAGATATGTTGATACTTGCATGTAACGCATGCAAGTGTATACCGCGTATATTGTATACTGCATGTACTGTCGTTTGCGTGCACGAACGTTTATTACATTAGAAGAATGAAATGTTCGAAATGCGACAATGAATCTTAAGTAAGCCATCTTGAGATATTATCGAAACGATATAATTATTATTGTTGATTTTTATTTTTGGTGAATAATGCGCGCGTCGCGTTCACAGGGTGAACTCGAGACGTGCTAGCCATTCGTCACGCAGCGTCGCACCGTCTCGAATTTATCGAATTTATCAGAAACTGGTGATACTTAAGGAGATTTGCAAAATTGGTCCACATTTGGGTTAGCTAGGTCATGACCTACTTCTAAGTAGACACGAAATATATAGTAGACTCGAGATATACCCTACTTCCTATAATTCATTTTCTTCTTATGGTACATTTTACGAAATATTATGCGCGCTAATCGAAGATCAAACAAGTAGAACGATCGATACCTATCTAAGTTTCTATCTAACAAGTAGGCATATCTTATTCTCGCTATCGTTTTTTCACCGATCGCGGTAAACGCAATAGCGATTCGTGACTACTGTTAACTTTACCTAATGAAGTTCAAGGTACATTGTGCGACTTATAATGTGCTTCGAACGAATGGTGCTGCTGATTGTAGCGAATCAACTGTCTAGATCCAGGAATCAAGGTCAACGGACACGTAACTCTTAACTACGGACAAACTACGTTGATCAAGCGCGGAATCGAAATATTCTAGTACATAGTACATTTAGTTCTAATAAAGTTCTAAGGGACTGTAGCACGATCGTATAAATTTAAAGGATAAGTGGAATCGTTTCTTTAGTTTTCGATTCGAGTCGAACGAAAACGACTTCTCTTTTGCGTACAAACGAACGGAAGACGAGAAATATGTAACGTACGTATTTCTCTCGCGAAGGGGTGGCGTGAAGCTTCCAAGACGGTCTTCCGATACCGATGCTTAAATTCACACGCGAAAAGGATACTTATACGAACACATTTTTAACATCTGCACGAATGCCTGTCACCCGTCGCCTGTCGCTTGTCGCATGTCGCAAACAAAGACGAAAGGGGAATCGTGCAAAGTATATTCGCGTGTGCGTGTCGCGTAAACGCGCATCTAACGAGCAAACGCAGCGTCTACCGTTAATTGAAACACGAAACAAACTCTTTACCGAGATTTATTTTATAAAATACTTAAATAACCGTAAAAAGTAATCGGAACAACTACTACCTCCTGACTTTCGCTACGCTTAGCTTTTACACTCGTTAAATGCGATATTAAACTTACAATTAGACGAACGTTTGTCCGATTATAGATAAAACATACGGGAATGATGATACAGGTCAGTCTTACGATCCATTGGTAAACAAACCGACAACTGTCATTCGATCGATGTAACATCTGTGAGACAGACGGAATGTCTGAGAACAACTAACCGCATCCGATGCTGTTTGAAAACAAAGAACAGCCACGGGTACATATGTAACGTCTCGAATGAACCGTCGATCAAGATCAAGATATTGTGTATGACGATATTTACCGAAGCAGGAGAGAAAGCGTTTTATTGTTGGCGCACTCGAGGATTTTCTTCTTTTCCCAACCTTCGACGGTTTTCACCCATTCCTCGCCAGGACTGCGCCAATCTTTCGATATGAACGGCATCGTTTGTGAGGTAGACGCGAAACGGTTGTACACTCGCACACGTAACCCGTGAATCTACTTCAAAAAAATCTTACAAAATGTACTTCACGGTTTCACTGACGCCTAATGTTTGTTAGCAAGACGGATCAGTCCGTTCGGTTTATTTCGCGGCTGCGATCGACCGCGCATGGCTTTGTTTTACTGACGTCACACTAATATCAGCTGTGCGACTGATGGGCCAGTTCACTCGTACGCTCTACGATGAAATTCGCCATTTTGAAATTATGTATCGCGCATGCACAGTCTCAAGTGACATCAAGTAATCGTAATATTCAAATACCATGAAATTCTTGTACAAATTTATACGATTTACTAACTTTCTATTGTAGTTCTATCGAATAAAACAAATGTTTATGCATTTTTCTTTTTATTCGTTACGCGTAAAATTAAAGCGATACAAAGATTTGTCATAATAGTTACGATAAGATCCGGTCGTACAAAGATACAATCTATTACATATATACAAATGTACACAAATAATTTTTACATTATATTCATATCGTTCATTTGTTTATCTATACGAGAAACAATATTTGCACGGACTGATTCCTTTTCTTCTTCCTCGGTTTCCGAATCGGTCGATGGAAAGTCTGAAATGGCTAACGAACGAACAATTATTATAGCGGTAATAAAATAATATAATCTTTTTCTAATGATAACAAATAAAAATTACCATTTCTGTTTATCTTTTCTTGTCTCGCTTCTATCAAAAATTTCTCTTGTGCCGCTATAATTTCTTCCGCGTTTGTACAAAGAGAATATTTATTCAACAACTCTTCGTTCAGTTCCAAAAACGAATGACCCCAAGAAAACTTTCCGAGATAAAATTTGGCTTCTTCGATGAAACCTGTTATAATTAAAGTAGCAGCTATGGCTTCTACGCAACTTAATTGACACGGTCTGCCATAATTTATTGGATTTGCAGCGACCAGAAATGGTAAGAGACGAGGATTAGAAGTCCTCATTCTATTGAATGGAGTATCGTCCAAACGTGCCCAACTACAGTCGACAACTGCACAGCCATAATCCTGAATGATATCACGATCTGTTGGACTTACGCACTGCAATATAATATTTTGCCATGAATTATCGTAAACAAGATTATTTTGTATATAGTATGCGATGCATCTGTTACCTTTTGACCAACCGGAGTAAGAACCAACCCTGAAAATCGAGCTCCTAACCTGAGTATTTTCACTAAGCCATGTCTGACTAGTTTTCTACCAGAACATTTTTTAGGATCACATTGCTCAAGATCCCACATTGCAATTGGAAAAGAAAGAGGATTGACCTTTTCTTCTTCTATCCCTGGAAATTAAGCACGAAACAATCACTTATGTTTTTCAAATACAAACATGTTATAGAAAGTTTTGTTCTAACCTGTACCTTCATCTTCCTTGTCAGATTTATCTCTTTCTTGCCGATACCTTTCTTCTTTTCCGACAACGTGCCGTGGTCGTCTCGATAATACCTTTTTTTTGTTCTTTTTCCCGTGGGAAGACATTTACGAAACGTCAAAATGTTTCGTAATACAATTTCTTGAGAAATCATACGAACGAATCCAACAAAAACGTACCCGGTTTTGACTCTGAGGTTACTTTCAGTTACTTTGGTCACTGTTTATCACTCTTGATCGTGTCAATAATCGGTGATGTATTTGTATGCACAGCGCATGCACCGTGTTAACACATATGTTATAATGTGCGCACGAATATTTTATCTGATCTAACAGAATAATGAAGTACTTTATGGTATGTAATTACTTTATTATATCGTAAAATATTTCAAATCAGTATTACTTACAATTATTTTTTGCAATATATATTTTCGATACAGAAAAATAAAACTTTTCTTATATATATGTATACGTACATGTTTTCTATATATACATACATATAACTATAGAAATGATCTGCTCAATTTGCGGATGCACTTATTATGTATTTGAAAACAAAGTAAAATTTCATAATATTTTGTTTGTAATTATGAATATTACGTTAACTGTACGTAAAACTGTTGTTATATAAAATTTGTAAATATCAAATAAATAATATTGTATTATGCGCTTTGAAATAGTGGCACTGCATCAGACGGCCCTGAAGTATTTAATGTTGGTATTGCACTGAAGTATTTAGTGTTGGTAACAGTAACAAGTGGGTGTTCTATTCTCTATCGTTTTGCGGAGCACAAATCATTTAGAGAATGATGATTCTTTATAGAGACATTTTGATTTGTATAGAGACGCTTTATTTACTGCATTGTCACTCTTAAATTCAAGGTAGGTATGTCTATATTGCATTTTATGCGTTATATCGTCTTATTAATATACATTGCTGAAGTTATACTTTCGTAATCCAGCATAAAAACAGTGCGTTCCTAATGCGTATTTATGTAATCGAATGTCTTTTATTTTGGTTTAATTTTAACGATATTATATTGTTTATGCGGCTTAAGGGATATGGATTCAGGTATTTTATCGAGGGATAATTGTTATAACGTTTGTAAAATTTGATGATACATGTACATGTTAGATAATTCTTATAATTATGTATGATAGTTATATATCGTGCTTATAATATAAATTTTTAGGAATATGTAATAATCGATATATACTTTGTTTTATCTTTATAAATGTGTTATCTGTGTTATTCGTATTTTAGCAGAACGCGAACGTAATATTGGGATGTTATTGAGATGGATGCGAAGTCCTGAGAGAGGGGTTCCAAATAATCGTCGGGTTTCAAATGATCGTCGGGTTTCAAATGATCGTGTTCAACAATGGATCAATTCGTTACCAGAACCTACAAAACCAATAGTTTGTACATTGGAACAGAAAAGAGAAGTACAATTACGACGTAGACCGCCTAAAGCTAAAGAGATTAAAGAGCCGTGTGTTGAAAAAATAGAATAGCCAAATATGATCGTTTCAGCACCTATCAATGTTCCCAATACAACAGCGACGATTAATACCGCTGGCCTACCAAGGTATGAAGTTATACCAAATAATATATTCTGCATAAAAATAATCGTATTTATAGAATCTTTTGTTTATAGCTCGTTACCTCATAAACTGATGCGTGATCCTAGTTTGCAATCTGACAGTAGTCATTGCAGTAGCGTTGAAAGTTTACTAGAATTGAGAAAGGCAGATCCAGAAGCAATTTTGCTTGGTCTTGGATTTGGTGGTTGCTCTAACAGCCCACAAGAAACTGGTTCCTTTTCTCGAATACCAAAAAGATTTTTACAACCATCAAAATTAAAAGGCATAGCCATCAATGATTTTATGAAGCAACAACAAGAAACTAGCGAATCCTTTGATTCTGTATCATTAGGATACAGAGGACTAACAGGTAAAATATTTATAGGAAATTAATTGATAGTCAGAGCAGATATGTAATAGAAGATTAAATGAAAAAATCATAATCTAGTAATCATTGTATTTAATGGTAAATGATCAGAAAAAAGATTGCAAATAAATTCCTGTAAATCATGTAAGTCTGTTATATACATGGTAATTTTATAGGAAGCGATGGCACATTATCTGTGTCTAAACTTTTTCCACGTCGCAGACATTCTGGACCAATTAACGTTGTAAGTCATACGACTGTTAGGCTTTCTCAGTGACATTTTTCTTTATTGCAAAATCGTGTCTGTTATTTGAAGAATTTAAATTCGTAGTTTGTAACGTATAATATTAAATATGAAATATTTATTTTGATTGCTTTCCTATTACGTTTAAACATCGGTGGTTATGAATTTTTTTGAGTGTTTCATTTATCGTATTGTATAACAGGAGAATGTAATATGCATGAAGCAGATGGTTACGTTATTATTAACACATTGTGGTCGGGCGTTTTATACCGAAGCGTTATGGCTGGGGCGGGCAATTTATTGAAAAATGTGCGTGAATTTTATTGTTACAAAGAAATCACTATAAATTTAAAAAGGCATTGAATTTTTTTATTAAACTTTTATTTTCTTGTCTTAGAATGTATTCTTAATCGTTATTATAAAAAATAAAAGCACGTTTTGTATAGCTGAGTATAGAATACAAAGTTATTTACCCGAAAAAAGAAAAAATTAAAAAGGAAAATTTTAATCCACAAATAATGAAGACTAGTAATGTTGTAAGATGAGATAGCGCTCAAAATATTTACCTCTATGAAGAGGTATACCGCAAAATTTACACATAAAACAAGTTTTACTTCTTGCATATTTTTTCTATAACGTGTTTCCTCATATCTATAAAAAACGTAGAACTACGTGGCCCGCGCTCTACTCACAGTTTGTGAAAATCGTAACGTCCCGACAACAATGTGTTAATAGAGCATTTAATGTGAAAATGAGACTTTAATCCTTATATATTATGCATTAAATAATCAAAGTAATATTTGAAATTTTATTACATTAACAACATTGGCAAAACGATTTTGTTTTTTATATTTTTTATTTTTTAATATGTGTACGCCATAAGATAAGAATTCTTATAATTTGCATATTTTTTTGTTAACGATACACACACGTATTGTTAATTGTTATCGCTTCTTTAAATTGTTATAATAGTATACTTGTTGTTATTATTACATAGCATGTAACTAATTTCATTAATTCACTGAAGAAATATGGAATAACTTATTTCTCTTATTTCGAAGGATCGCCGTACGTAGAGCCGTCGGAAATTGTACAAAAAATTGTACAACGTTTACGAGAACATGAAAGTCATGAACACGATCCATATGCAACGTACAATTCTTACGAACAATATAGTCCTTTACAGTGTAATGGCACACTTTCTGTATTGTCTCCTGATAACAGACAATTTTTAGAACGTCCACGTTCAAAAAGTCCTGATATGCGCAATAAACGTATGATTATCGGTAAGAACTAATTGAATTTTATACTTATTGTTCCAAGTATTTTGCGAACGTATGTACTGTATTGGAAAAATGTATATCTACCGTAGTAAGAAAACTTCTATATTTTAGGACAAAAGTCGTTTGCGTTTGGGCACGATGGAGATTTAATTGAAATCGACCTTTCTAACGCAAATAAATCATCTGGACACGATTCGAACAATGATTCTAATACCATTAAAAATTTCGAAACATCTGCTGATCTAACAAACAATGATAATGCTCACTGCAACATCGCGGAAATAAGGAAAATAATACCGAAACGATTATCATTTGAGGAGAATACCGAATACGACAACAGCGATACTGAACCGACGATAGAAACACATAAAGGGAATTTGAATGTAACGTCATACAATTTGAACGATATTCGAAGGGCTAGTTCGGGATCATGCGATACAACGATAATAAATACTTCGGCGGCGATACAAAGAAGAAGATATAGTGATGGATTTGTTCACACTACCAAGAATACTAATGAAACCGACCTGATACGAAAAAGAAAAACTTTGAAACGACAGACTCGGATAAGCGACACGGATACGACAAATTATTGTGATTCAGAAGTATACATTTCTGATACCATGCATCGCAAAGAATTAGAATGTAATCTGCATACGAAAGATGAAGCTTGCGAAGGTGGTGAAAATATTCGGATAAAATCGATGCAAAATATCAACGAAAATCCTATTGTAAAATATCCGTCGTGTACGTTGTCTAGCGATACGAATAACTGTGTACAACCTGATAGTAGTAGTTCAGTTAAAAAAGAACAGCAAATTGATAACGACTGTTGTATCAAGAAGAATCAGTCTGTACATAAGGAAGAAGAAACAACTTGTTGCTGTCATTCTGGTACTAAAAAATATTGGATGGAAAAAATTATTCAGAAAAATAAGAACTTGGAAAATATGGTAGTAAAAAGTAGAAGAGAAATGAAAGAAATTCGAGAAATGCTAAACAACGTATTATCAGTACGCTTAGAACCTGGTTTTTAATTTGGATGTATCAATATACATCGCGTAAAAAGGACTATTCGTGAAGAGCAATGATAATCAGGCATGTTTACGCAACGTGTATCGTTTTATGATGTAAAATTTTTAAATTCGTCACAATTTAAACGAAATTTTTATTATATACATAATGAAAGCGATTCACAAAATTTTTCGCAGGGAATGATTTTGTACGTATAAAAACATCTTTATTTATAATGATGATATTTTTATGATTTAAATAATAAATAAAGATGTAAATATTTTGTTAGAATTTCAAATTTTATTTTGCATCAAATATGAATAAGGTATTAGGGTTTAATATTTGATATAACATTTATGATAACTGTATATTTGTTTCCATTAGTAGTAACTGTAATATTTCGTTATGTTTGAAAATTATTATTACCAAGTTATTATATTTGTTATTTTCACAACATATTTTATACATACTTAACGTTGAATTTTTATCTTAATATTATGTTAAAATTTGAATAACTTTATTACTGTTTAATTTCATATTATTTATGATGTACGCGTGTATATATACATACACATAGATATGTTAAAATTATAAGCACAATTGAAATGTATTTTTTTAAATATCCTATATTGAGAATGATATGGCACATTAAAAATAATTGCAAAATAAATTACAGATATGCCAAGTATCTATTTTCAGTACATTAAGTTGAAAATCTAGTCTCACAAGTTTTCGCGGTAGTAACGACTTTCAGTGCTTCTTGATTGGTATATAATACGTACAATGTAATTATTCATTTCTCACACTGTTTTGTGCGATATTTGTAGAATTTTTAATGCTTTAAATTTTAGATATAAATTATCACGGAAACTGCTTTACACGATAAAAAAAAAACATTTACTTTTATATTATAATAATGTTTGTACTTTTTACTTTTAAAGGCATATGCTCCAAAAAGAAATAATTCTTGATTTACAATCGAAATTGAAAACAAAATACTAAGTACAGTTGCAGGGGCTTTTTTTTTTTTTTTTTAAAAATAAATAAAATCATTAATTATTTTTAATTTTGAAATATGTATATATCTGTAATTACTTGTAATAAGAATTAAATTATTTTCTTGGAGCTTTTCGTATTTTTAATATAAACATTTTACAATGGAATTATATATGACATTATCAAAATTTTATTTGCTCATTATCAATTAAAACATTTTAAGTCTAAACGCTTTAGAATGTAACACAAATTTTGTGTAACGACATTCTTGTAGGTATTTGTTTCCTCTCTAAGTTATTATTTAACGTTAATGTAGACAATACAAATTGTAATTCACACTATGCGCCTACATTCCAATAATTTTAGATTTTACAAACAGGATAGGAGCTCGGTAAAAAAATATGTACGAATCATAGAGGAATAATGAATAAACAATTAACACAATTAGTTTTTACTCTTTTTTTTTCCATGTACGTGAACCATATTTTTATCCATAAAGCTAGATCGAAATAACATACCACTGAACATGAATTATGACAGTACAATTGATTTCTTACTCATAATACCGTTATCAACATAAATCGAGTATACATAATGTTTATAGCCACGAAACATTTCCAAAATTTAAATACAAAATTAAAAACAATGATTTTTCAACGAATTTACACGACAATAGGAACACAAAACCACAACGGTAACTGACACTGTGATTTGTTTTCTATATCTAATATCCTGTGTTTCGATGATTAAAAGTAATATAGAATTTAGCTACTGAAAATTTGTCATAAAAAAATATCAAATTTGAAGTCCATCGAATGATAAAATGATCGTTGGGATCAAAATGTTGTATCATAAGAATAGAGAATTAATTAAAATAAGAAATTCAAATTTACGTTGAATTTATAAAATGTGAAATATAAAATATAGGTGGATGTTATTTAAGAAATTGAATAACCATGCAGATTTACAGGTAGCTTTTTATTATTAATCGTTTCGCTTCTGACGTCGGCATTCACTAATCGCTGTTCATGATCAAAAGTTTTGGTTATTTACTATCGGTATGATTCACAAATTTCCATCTCAAATCGAATTAATGCAATGTCAAGTTTATACAAATACACTAGAGCGATGGTAAACTTTTCTTAAAAAATGTAATAAATTTGATACAAAAGATCAATAATTTTATATAACTGTAGAACAAGATACGTACTATATTTTATTATCATTATTATTATTTATATAACTATAATTAAGAAGATAACTAAGAAGATAAATATATATTGGAAGAGTGAAAAAACTGAAGATCGTATAGTAATTTTGTTTTAACCTGACTAAACGCTGAATAACTGATATCGTAATTTTATTGAATCGACGCTATCGCAGCGAAAAGATTAATCGAAATGTTATCAAGTATTTGTAAAGCTACCCGTTGTTAATGAACTGAGATTCATGGTCCACTCAATGTTACCTTTAAACACGAATCTGCTAGAATATCATCTTGTAAATTGTATTCGTGTGTTGGCATAACATGTCTGTGTAGTGTTGACGTGTATTTGTGAATGTAAATGTATTCTTCCTTATTGTACCTTAAAATGTATATAAACAAATATGATCAAATATGATCTATATTTAGTCTTCTTTTTCGTCCCTGGAAAAAACAAAACGAGAGCGATATTTATTACACGTGATTATTCAGTTGCATCCAAACTATCATATCGGAAATTGAGAAAAAGAAGAAACATACTTTACAACTTCTTGCTGTTGTTGTTGATCAAGGTGAAGTTCAACGATTGTTTCTGTTCTACTTTGCACTTTGAAAGTAACTTGTGCAGCCAAGTATTTATCTTTATTATTCACGGACCAACCGGAATACTAAATGGAAAAAAAGGAAAACATAAGTATTTTGTAAAAACGATAAGAATATTTATACGAAACTTACCGTAGATGTGCTTTTGTACAATGTTTTTCCATCTTCTTTGAAAGGTAAAAACTTTTGAAGCAACGCTTTCCCATCTATCCTCCACAATGTTGGTTCTGTATTACCGCCAATGTCGCCTTTTGCAACAACGAATGCACCGGACTAGAATAATCGATATACACAATGAAATCTCCGTTTGTCATCGTCAAAGCGTTATCTACCTTTCTTTGTCATAATACTTAAAACATAACTTACGGTAAAATCTTTTGGAGTTTCTCCCGACGATTCATTAAAGCTGTTATCATCTGAATCTTCTTCGTCTTCTTCTTCTTTCTCATCTTCTTCTTTTTTTGATCGTCTTTTTCTTTTGGGTTTCTTTCCTGGATCAGAATCAGATTCCTCGTCTTCTTCGTCATCTTCCTCTTCATCCTCCTCTTCTTCCTCTTCTTCTTCTTCTTCGGAATGCTGTCGCTTTTTAGCAGATTCTCTTTGGGGTCTCTTTTTAGCACCGCTCTAAATAGCGTTAATAAATGTATCACGATAAAAAAATGTATACGAATAAACGTGTCTTTTAAAAAAATGCACAGACGTAAGGCACAATATTTATAATATTTGAAGTAAATAACAATATCTAAAATATTATATATATGTTTTTGTACTTTTACATTTCGTTCGTAGTAAAATTAATTTGCTTCGATAGAACATATAATCTGTCATTTCTAAATAGATATCGAGTCGAATTTGAAAATAATATTTTCGTTATATTGGAACGGCAATTTTAAATTACAACGTAAACGATACTAAAAGGTTACTCACGACACGAAAAAAGTAATATGAAAGAAAATGTAGATGCGTCGAAAGAATATTAACAGACTACAACGTACAGTTGTATTGTTTTGAAAAATTCATTGACCGGCGCCACCGACCGGCCGGCGAGGATAACCCAACGGCCGTAACAGTATTCCAACCATAACTTTCTTACAAAAAGAAAGTACAATTTTACAAAGAAATTATATTTACGTTGAAAAGCTATTAAACGTATCGTCAAAGTAAGAGAGAAATTTTGCGAAATACTCGATCAATGGTAACAGATCGGTACTGTATTTGTCGAGCAGCGTACTATATAGTTACGATTACAACGGAAAACTACACGAGTACATAACTGATTTCTGTTTTCTCGTTATCTGTTTTATCGTAACTGATTAAAACGATTTATTTCTGGTAAGAAGGAAAGGTGTAATATTAATAAAAGAAGGAAGATTTTTCAAATAATAAATTCGATTGATTAATGAAAAAACAATGGTAAATATTTAATCGAAGGAATAATGCAAAGAATCGTCATAAGAAAGATTCCGGCTGACAGATCTTTATTCGGAAACGATACGATGCGTATAAACGTAAACGTGGATAATAGAAATGATAAGAAGCGTAGCGAGAATGTGATCGGATACGATAAATCGGGAACCGTGAAAAGGATTTACTACATAACAACGAACGAGAGAAAAGCATCGACATAGCGTGGGCTTACTTCGGCTCCGGCTTCAGGAGTCCACTCTTCTTCGGAAGCTCCTTCTACCTCTTCTGGGTCGTCCGCAGAATATTCATCCTCGTCCGACACGTCCTTAGTTTTCTTCATATTGCTTTTTCGCGAAATGTTTGCAAATTTTCCCGATGGGCCTTACCGAACGAAAGAAAACTCACGCGACCACGTACAAACCGACGAATTACGTGCGCGACTACCGCAAACAATATGGCGGTGTATAGCGGTAAGAACCGGTTATCACGCATATCCTCCTGCGCAGCCCGGAAGCGACGCGTGCTTCGTAATTTCCTGCGTGTTCGTAGAGCCGCGAAATACAATATTTTCAAATAAGAAGTAGAACGTTTCTTGCAATCTTTCTAGTCGTTTAAACAGCGTTCAAAAGCGCGAAGGAAGGACAAGGAAAAGGTAAAAGTAAAGGTAAAGATAACAGAAAAGGAAAAGGAAAAGGAAAAAGGGGGAAGTGCGAGAAGCGAAAGAACGGTTAGGGTAAATGGAAAGCATCGATACAATATGTGTTTTACGATGTTTTAGAGAAGTATGTATCGGTGATTATAAAATACATTGTCTACGAGGTTGATTAATATTTCGGTAAATAGGTTTTCCTCGAAAACGTATGACTGCTTGTATTTTTTCGAAATGTTTGAGGGCTTTGATCGGGTTGGGTTAGGTCGATTCGAGTCGAGTCGAGTCGGGTCGATATGGAGTTGGCGCATGCGTCGATAGATCGCGGTATAGGACGCTCCCTTTAGCATTTATGGTACTGGGAAACTTCTCACAGGGGCTACGAGTGTGACCTCAGAAAGGAAGAAAATATGTTCGAGCTGTACGGAATGGATAAAGACGGCATGGTTTACCGATCTCCACCGCCGAGGAGAAAAGAAGTCGATATATTAGAGGTAACTCGGTAAACTCGATTGATTTACTCGCATTTACTAATATATGCGTCTATTCGTATTCGACTGGTTGAATAGAAAAGTTCGGTCGAACGAAGACTCGGGATAAATAATATATAATTTACTCGTAGACTTGTTTGCAACTATCTTCACCAGAATTAATGAGAAAATTGCCTAATGGTGATGCGATACACCACGCAAAGGAAACAGGCGTTTCTACCTCTTTGGATAAAGATAAAGATAAGGATAAAGATCCACCCCGAGAAAGCGGTACGTCTTCAATAAATTGGTGTCAGTAAATTTCAGTAAATTTCAGTAAATTTCAGTAAATTAGGCGCATATGACGTTAATTGTATGCCAGAGATACGAACGAACGGTTTCTTTCTCTTTTCTTTACCGTTGTTTCAAGCAATTTGGTATGCACGTAGGAAGGAGTATGCTGAGGAAGTGGATCGTGATGACAGGTTTCCTTTTCCTCGGATGTGCCTTGGTCGCCGGTGTAGGATTACCACTAGCTTTAGAGTTGCGCAGCTCGCATTTACTGGAGGCTAGACTTCAAGTTGTACGACGAATGCTGTCCGAAATTCCTCTGATCGACGGGTAAGCAATCGCGTAGTAAACGAGACGGTATTATCGTGATAAATGCTTGTTTGACGAATAACGGAAACTGAGACATTTCAGGCACAACGATTTCGCTTGGAACCTTCGAAAACACCGAGGAAGCACGAAATTGAGAGACTTTCCATTCGACGAGAATTTGTCGCGAAACGCGAGCTGGGGTTCACAGTGGCAAACCGATTTGGTACGATTACGCCAGGGTATCGTCGGTGGACAATTCTGGTCGGTTTACGTGCCCTGCGAGGCACAATTTCTCGATGCGGTACAACTTACCCTGGAACAGATAGACGTGGTGCGTAGGCTCACGTCGAGATACCCGAAGAGAACGAGGCTGGTGACTTCGAGCAAAGAGCTCGAAAAAGCGCACAAGGACGGAGTGATCGGGAGTTTGGTGGGAATCGAGGGTGGCCACAGTATCGGTACTTCGATGGCAGTATTGAGGAGTTTTCATCGACTCGGAGCGCGATACATGACTCTCACGCACAAATGTAACACACCATGGTAAGTAGATCGATCCATCGCATCGTTTCGAACGTGTAATTATGTGCCTCTAGATTTTCGATCGTATTTAGGGCTGATTCGTGTTCAGTGGAGGATTCGAGTTCGGACGCGTCGTTAGATTTTCACAGCGGCGGACTGTCGATGTTCGGTAAAGCGGTGGTGAAGGAATTGAATCGATTAGGAATGTTGGTCGATTTGTCACACGTATCGATAAGGACCATGAGAGACGCGTTGGCGGTAACGAAAGCACCGGTGATATTCTCTCACAGTGCGGCTCGAGCGCTTTGCAATTCGTCCAGCAACGTTCCGGACGATGTGCTGCGTAATTTGGTAAGCAAAAGGAAATTAACTCGACTTTCCTAACACGAAATCGAAATACGAATACTCATTCTCGTTGTCTTCTATTCGTGTTTCAGGCTGTGAACGGTGGTTTAGTTATGGTCAGCTTCGACAGCGCGCATTTAAGCTGCGGCGATAAAGCTTCCATGTACGACATTATAGGTACGCGTGCGTGAGCGCAAACATATTATTAAGAAAACTTGTACGCTGCGAGAAACGTAAAAAACACTCGAGGAACGAAGCCATGTCACCAGAACGATCCGTATACTTGTCTTTGCAGCTCATATCAATCATATACGGCGAATAGCTGGCGTTAACCACGTGGGTCTTGGAGCCGGTTACGATGGAATATTAAGGTGAGCGTTGTTTAGCGTTCGTAGTTAGTCGATAGTTGGTGGTTCTTCTCGGCCAGAAGACGTACACGAGTAACGTTCGCGTGTGTTTAGTCCGCCGGTGGAACTTCCGGACGTGTCAGGTTATCCCCTGCTGCTGGCTGAACTGACGCGAGATCGAAGATGGTCGGCCTCTGATATCAAAAAATTGGTCGGTGGAAATCTGTTAAGGGTGTTGAAAGAAGCGGAAAATCATGCGATAACGGTATCGCATCTGTCTCCGGCGGAAGAACTGATTCCTCAACAGTTAATCGAGGAAAGCGCGTACTGTAGATATCACGACGCGTAAATCCGATGCGTTTTTATTTCGATTTCCGATGTCTCGAACGTCGAACCTCGAATCACGCGTTTCGCACAGTTTCGTACCGTTTTGTCTTTGTACCTGGATTACTCTGTTTTTGCATTTTTAATAAACGAGTCTTATAGATTCTCCTTTTGTTTCTCCTTCCGTCCTATATTCCTTTATTTTTTTTCGTTTTTTTTTTCCTTTTTTTTTCGCATAACGATTTATCCCGCGTTACAGCGTAATTTTTCAATTTTCCAGAGACGTTTTTGGCACACGCCAAAGTGAACACGACCGCGTACCGAACGCGCATTCGATCAAAATAGGTGCTGCCTGTTCAGTCAATTTACCTCGTCGTTCGCGTCGCTAGATCGCGTTCATCATCAACGTGCTTCGAATGTATGTCGAAGCAATTATTTAATTTCATATTCGTTGCACCGTGGTTAACGCTGGTATCGGTCGAGTCCCATTCAACTGGAGTTTTAACGATATCTCGGTATTCGTATCGTACTTGATTAGTCTATGAAAATTTTAAATCGTAACCGATATATTCGCGTAATTTAATTACTGGCGTGCGTTGATCGAGGAGAACATAATAGCGCATATCGATTATAACATCGTATAAAGTATAAACGGTGAATGCATAGTATCTTCGAGTACAAAGTATGCGCACGACCGAGCTGTCCACGAGCTGATCGTTCGCGTTCGACCGAAGCAAATAAAATCGTGATAAAAGAGAAGCGATCGCGCGCTGTGCCGCGATGTCGAATAAATGAAGCTATTCGAGCATTTAAAACGTCGCGTCGTGTCGCGCTGCTTGTAACCGACGATGAACGAGTATCGACGACACCCACCGACCACGGCTATTACACAGGAACGTACGCGATCGCGAAACTGATGTATATGAAATTTTACGCCAGTAAAAATTCGCGAACAAGAAAATCAGCGAAGAGTGCTTCTCGAATTCGAATCGATCTTTGGTTGGGCTTCGTAGAAGGAGATGGTATTGAAATGGAAAATAAAAACGTGGACGAGCGCGCGCATTTCGATCGTCGAAGCAAATAAAAGCCGTTCCTGAAGGACAGTTTTGTGGCGCGGAAGTGGAAGGGGATTCGAAGATTATACTCGCCGGTCCGCGAGTCAAAAGTTCAGTTTGGTCTAACGTCTATCTCGCGTCGCGTCTTGTTCGAGATTCGAATGCGGTGTAGAAGTTGTAAGAGAAACGCGCCGAGAGGAGAAATCACGGATGGGACAAGAGAATAGGAAATTTCAAAATTGTATCGGACTCCATCGAATCGATCGAGAGTAAATAATCAGAATTTGCTTCGTACTCGTGGTCGTTTCACGAACGCCGGGGAATCACCGTCTCGACGCTTCTAGCGGGCATCAAAGATTTTTAGAGGATCGGCCAGAAGGTAAGTTCTTTTAGCAATTTTACTTCTCGATCCTTAAAAGCTTTAAGACGTTTAATCGTTGCGGGGCATCTGCTGTATTGTTGAACTCGAGCGTAAATCGCGAGCACGTGCTTCTCGTATACGCGCGTGCACCACACGCCGCGTTCAGCGTCTCGTCGAACTCCCATCGAACTCCCATCGAACGCGAGAGATCAGCGATCTCGTAAAAATAGCATAGTTCGACAACAAAGTGTATCGCGCGTTTGTCGGTCAGCGTTTGTCGCCGTTAGCGTCTCGAGAAACAAGATGTTATTTTGCGAGAAACAAAGGGAGTCGTGGTTTTACCTGGTCGTATTCGATTCGAGCAGAAACGGCGTTTCTCCGGGTGCACAGTCCGTTTCGTTTCAGTCTATTAACGTACGCGAAATCTCGATTTCATTTCGTTTCTGCTCGATCAAGCGTTTTCGTTGATCATCGTTTGTTTCAGACGAGCAGCAGCCGGTTTCGAAAGAAATCGATCGGTACAGAGACGGAACGCGAAGATGAGATACAAGGTGAGCTTCCCTCTTCTCTCGAACGTTTACTCCGTTGATCGGTTTGTAAAGCGCGTGTGCGAGCGCGTTATCGGAAAGCTTCCGACCGCGCTCCTTGTCGGTGAAGATCTTAGCGTTGATTTATCGAAAGCCGAATCGATGCCAAATCGAGTATTATTGATCGTGTTATGTCATTGCAAGTAGCCGTGAATCGTCGATACTTGTTAAACGTTTAATCGACCGAAACATTCGGCGCGTAGCATCGAAGCGATATGTAAATGTTTACGTGTATCGAAGGTGAAGGCCCGTCTGATCACACGGCACACAATACCGGTCATCTTCGGAAGCTTACTTTTCTACCTACTGCCGTTGCATAAGTTGTTAGCGCGGGTACAGGATATATTATTTTATTCTAACGCAGAAGCTACCGAGTTAGTAATTATACCGAGTTGTTCCTCGATCGGACAAGCCTCAAGTCCACGATCGTTCTTGGTAATTGGATGACGTGGAAAATGATTCTATTTGTTTTCGATAAACACAACGTTCCGATGCGAAACTTTTTCCGTATACGCATACTATGTGTCTTGTAATCACGTGGCAAGCTTCGTTTTACAACGCGATACTCGTTCCATCTTGCTGCGTTCACGCGTCCAGCCATCGTGGAAGCTATCGATGGAAGAGTTCTTTTTCCTTTTACCGATTATACGGGCTACGAGAAAATGCTATATGGCATATCTAACGATGCTTTGTTCCTTCGTACGATCTTAATATCGTTCAGAACATTCAGAATAATTCGAGAACACCATATCTGAATAATTCGATACACGATATCTGCATGACTTTAACGAGAGAGAAGGATTAGAACAGTTGAAATTCATCGATTCTGGAGCAAGGTGAGAGAGCATCGGTGCTTAAGCGTAACCTTTTGCCCGTTATTCGATAGCGGTGTGTGTCGATTTAGCCGAGATCCTTTTTCGTAGGTAAACGATCCAGAGAACGATGAAAAGAACGCGAGGGATGGGACGAAAAGGAACACGATAATTTTCTGGTAATTTCCTTATTGAGAAGTATCGGAGAAACAAAAATTCTATGTATATTAGTTATCTGTGGTCGTTTTAATACGTTGAAACAGGCAACGCGACCACGAAGAGGAGGAAAAATTGAACGGGAAAAAAATGAAATTGGCGATAACGATTGGATTGTTAACGGTAACCGTAATCGCCTTGGTTATAACGCTGACCTTGCAGATAGCTATTTTCCACAAAGAAGAATACGAAGAAGAGATGTGTCAGAGCGAAGAATGCGTGAAGACAGGTACCTACCGCAAAATCAAGGTCTTCCTTCCTTCCTTTTCTGCTTCGTTTTATCCTCGATCATATGAAATTGCACGGAGATCGGAGATACGAGTTTTCGATTTCAAACGTTACGTAACGATACTATTATTCGTATTCGCGCTAATCCATCCGGTCGTCTGGTCGCCACGATGGATAATCGTTGACACGAAACGATCGTTTTGCCGTTCTAGCCGCTAGGATAATCGAGGCGATGAACAGATCCGTCTTACCTTGCGATGATTTCTACGAGTTCGCTTGTGGCGGGTGGATTTCGAAGAACCCCATACCGCAGAGTCAAACTTCCTGGGATCAATTGAGCCTTCTTAGAGAGCGACTGTTAACGGATTTGAGAATACTTCTCGAAGAGTCGGACGAAGGCAACGATTCGAGATCGATCAAATTAGCTCGAGACTTGTACAAATCGTGCATGGACACGGGTAAGAAAAATTTCGTTCTCGAAAAGAAATACGAAACGAAATACGATCGTTTGTTGCAGCGAGCGTCGAAGCACTGGGTCTGAAGCCTATCCACGACGCGCTCGGCCGTTTGGGTTTGCCCAACGATCCACCCTCTCCAGGCGAAATTTTACCGGACTTTGACGTTTCGGAAATTGCCGGAATCGCGCAACGAGTGTTAGGCTTGAATCTTTTCGTAAACTTTTACGTCTCCGAGGATCTTCGAAATACAACGAGAAACAGAATAATGGTATTGGTATCCGGCAAACACCGGAAAGGAGTAGCAACGATATCGATTCGAATCGTTTTTCAGATCGAACAGGTCTCTCCGGGATTCAGCGAGCGCTATCTCCTCGATCCGCATCGCTTCCGATCGGAGTTGACGGAGTACAAGAAATACGTAAAGTCCATGGTGGAACTGGCTGGAGCGGGAAACGAGAGTCAAGCCTTCGCCGAGGAAATTTTCGACTTTAGTACAAAGATCGCGAACGTGAGTAACCTTCGAATCGCTTACCAACTACCGTTCTCCGTTAGAACAGTTCGCGTCGTTTTAGATGATGGAGACACCGGAGCAAAAACGTAGCGAAAATCACCATATTTACGAAACGACCATCGACGGTTTACAACGACTTACGGATTCGCGCGTGCAACAGGTGAACATCTATTTTAAATGGACCGCTTGGTCGTTTAATCGCTGCTAAAATAATGTTGAAACGATGTTTCTTCATTTTAGTGGAATTGGACGAGGTACGTGGAACACGTGTTTAGCGACACGAACGTGACGATAGATACAGCCGTAGATCCCGTGCTCCTTATAAATTTACGCTATTTGCAACGATTGCCCGAACTGCTAGCGATCACTCGAACCACTACGATAGGTATTCTTTTTTTATTATATCGCCTTCTATAGTTTTGCGAGATTCTCATCAACATCGAACTGTTGTTCAGCGAGATTCGCGTGGTGGAGCGTTTATTCGACGGTCGCTCCGTTAACGTTGCAACGATTTCGTGACCTGGGCTTCCAGTTCTCGCAAAAGGTTTTCGGCTTGAAAGAGAAGACGCCCCGTTGGAAAGCGTGTACCGTAAACGTGAACGCGAATTTCGGCATGGCACTCAGTTACGTATACGCGCGTAAACGTTTCGACGAACAGGCTCGTGAAAAGGTAAGCTTCGTTGTCATATACCGATCGTTCGAACGAACGGGACGGGTAAGAGGTTGAAAAATTTTAAAGAAGACCGGGAATTTTCAGGCTCTGGAAATGTTGTTGGACGTGAAAGCGGCGTTCGACGAGATGCTCGGTGAACTAGATTGGATGGACGTTGATACGAGAGCTCGAGCGCACAAAAAACTGTACGCGATAAGACCGTTCGTAGGAATCCCAGAATGGATTACCAACTCGACGCAATTAGAGAAATATCACGAAGGGGTGAGTTATACTTGTGTTCGGTCTGAAATTTCCAAAAACGATTCCAAAACGAACCTGATCGATTGATCGTAGATGGAAGTAATACCGGGACGACTGTTCGATACGTTCTTGAAACTGACCGACGTAGGAATTAAGAAAAGTTTCAGCAGCTTGCGCGAGAAACCGAATAAAAATCGATGGATAACAACCGGTACTACAGTGAACGCGTTTTACAGCGCGATTTTAAACTCCGTTAGTAAGTGATCGAGAGTCGTTTCGCTTTATACCGAGCTTATATAGCGAATATAATAATCTATCGTATCGTATCGAATCGAATCGAATCGTTGTTTCATCGATATTTCATTTACAGCTTTTCCAGCCGGTATTCTGCACCCACCATTCTACGGAAATGGACTAGAGTATGTATAAGCTGCCGCGCAGTCGAAATCTCTTTCTCTTTCGAATCTAACGTTAACGATAAGTTACGCGCAACAGGTCTATCAACTACGGTGCTATGGGCGCTATAATGGGCCACGAACTCACCCATGGATTCGACGATCAAGGTATCGAGATGACACCACCGTATAGGATCTCACGAATTGCTTATAATTTCTACGAGACAGTAGTATGTGTTACGAATCCACTCGTTCTGCGTTAGGTCGTAGATACGACGAAAACGGAAACCTCGACCAGTGGTGGAGCGCCAGGACGTTGCAACGTTACCACGAGAAGGTCGAGTGTATAATCAAACAATATAGCAGTTATCGTTTACCGGAGTTGGGTAATAATTTTACGGTGAGTATTAGCCTTGTACGAGAAAGGAATCGAAGAAACGTGCCAAGGTAGCTCCACCGATAATCCGATGTTACGAATTAACGTTGCGTAGGTGAACGGCGTTAATACGCAGGGTGAAAACATTGCCGATAACGGTGGGATACGCGAGGCTTTCAGAGCTTACCAAAGGCTTCGAAAAAGAACCGGTGATCGACAGGTAGTTTTACCTGGTCTTGCCAGATACAGTCAACAGCAATTATTTTTCCTCGGTTTTGCCCAAGTAAGTAACAACGCTTTTCTTTCGATAAAATGTGTTTATTGAAAAACCTTGGTCGTTTAAAAAAAAAAAAACAATTAAAAACTCTATCGAGTATGTTCGTAATAATCTCTTGTCAAGTGGAAATAAGCGTATTTCTGCTACAGGTATGGTGCGGTAATTATACGAACGGCGCGTTAAAGTCGAAATTAATCGAAGGAGTACACGCGCCTAATCACTTCAGAGTCATCGGAACCTTATCGAACAATCAGGATTTCGCCAGAGCATGGAATTGTCCTGTTGGAAGCCCGATGAATCCGCCTCGCAAGTGTATTTTGTGGTAACCGAATACGCCGAGCTTGGACCGTGCGGACGACTCTGTACGCGCTTTTTAACGCGCACGCTCTCGAATATACATATTTCTAATATAGATATTTCCTTCGATTCTAAGCAGACTTATTTGTAACTTTTAGGAACTAACGCGTAACTCAACATCAAATATTTTTCTATTCAATTTTTCCTTCCATAAATATTATACGGAATACGGAATGCGAATACAATTTAACGAGTTGAACGCGGCCACCTTGTCGCCATCGTTCATTTAAGATTCATTGTTTTTTCTTTTTTTTCTTCAAAATTGTTCCGCTCTCTTCCGCGTTTGTATCCTTTTTTCTTTTTAGACGCAGAACATCCTGGTTATCGATCTCTTTCGATTCTAAAATACTTTTCTTCGCTGATTTCAACTTCTTAGCAGGTATATTATTATTCTCTTCGACGGGTATCGATCGTTTCTTTCTTCGCTTATTTTTATTCCAAGTAACATTTCCGTTCTCGTTCTCCGACAACCTGTTTCTCTTTTTCGGGGCATCGTCCGAAATGATCGTATCTAAGTCTTCGCTTTTTTTCTTTTTTAATAATGATTTATTTTTCTTTTTATCCGGCGCATTCGAGTCTTGTCCCTCCTCTATGCTCCTCTTTTTCTTCGACTTTTTCTTTTTGCTGATCGAACTTATTTCCCAATCGTTCTCCTCCTTTTCAACGATAACTTCTTGGCCAATTTTAAATCTGTTCTTCCTCGGAACCTCTACTTCCTCTTCGGCTTTAATCGTCGCGTCGTCGTACAGACTTTTGTACGGCATCGCGAGGGACAAACAAGTGATTCTGGCACCGCAATTAACGTTTTGCAACATGCGTAATTTATGCTTACCATACCTCCAAAGCTTAATTTCTCCAGAACTAGAAGCTGTCACTAATAAGTCGTCCTTAAAAGCCATACATTTAACCCTGGTATCGTGCGCAATTGCTTCTAGGGTTTGCACTGATTTTTCGAGATCGTAAAATTTTATTTGACCATTCTCCAATCCAACCGCGATCAAATCGTCTCTCAAAAACTCTACGCAAACTATCTTTGCGTTAAATTTGATTTCGCTACCGATCCCTGCCAACTCTACCGAATATACGTCTATTCTTTGATTAACGGCGAGTAAGTACTTTTCACCGTTTGGACTCCACTTAAGAATATTAACGTTTTTAGCGTCCAATTTTAATCTTGGTACTAGATTTGTCGCGTACGCTTGTCTTCCTTTAATTAAATTCCATGTTCGAAGAATACCGTCTGCTCCGGTAGACAGAGCTATTTTTCCTGTCGGATGAATAGCTAAAGTATTAACGCCTAATCCTTTATGCGCTTTCTGCCAATGCTTTTCCATTTGCCAATTACCGCATTTAATGGCAGCTATAGTTCCATCGTTGCTGCACGTAAAAAGATGAGATGCCTCTGGGGTAAACGCAACGCAATTAACGGTATCTATAGAGAAAAATATATTAATTTCTCGACGTATACGCTAATATAATTATTTACTATCGTATGCATACGCGTTTATACGTACCGTTGTGATGCATTAATCTGCCGGACTCTATCCTATACCGCATATCGTATAGGTAAACCGAATCGTCTGCGCCGCCAGAAGCTAAGTAATGTTTATCGCTTGCGACGCTGCGTACGCTACTCGTATGATTATGAGTTGCAAACGTTCTTTCCATTTTATACTCCTGCAAGTTCATCGATTCGTTATTCGGTAGTAATACGCTTAACAAAAGATAATATGCGCCTTAACAAAAGACGCGACTGTAAAATATAGGTTATATTTTTGGTAACGACATAGAAAAAGATGTTCACTCACGTTAACGATATTATTTACTTTGTAACCGAGCAAGAACTGCTCGTACGTTCCTACCACTATTTCAAATGGATCCGGCATATTTAAATCTTAATAACTACTTTACGAGAAACTAAAATATCTTAACACGAGGTACAACTTCTCGACCATCAACAACTACATTGCCAATAATCACGATATTTCGAGAATATCCTTTACTAAAAATAGATGTCGCTATCGTGTCGTTATTCGCGTCGTTGTTCCCGCTCAATTTACAACTACTCATTTCCCTCGAAAATATTATCTCGAAAAAATCTTTTATATGAACGCATTTTAGTTGAAATTTAAAGCATTTTTACTGCAGAATGTTTCTTTGCAAACGATTCAGACACTGGTTAGCAACTAGTATAATAGATGACGCCAGCGATAGCGTTCGGGAAGCGCGAATTAATATGAACGTTGGAAAATATGGAAGTGCGAATTAAATTTATTACTTTACTAGAACATATTATTTTTACGAGTCGACGAATCGACAAAAGTGTTTGAAACTAATCTTATAGAGTATATGTGCATAGGTAAGAGAAGAGGAATCGAGATAACATGCGATTACGAACAAGTATCAAATATTTATAACATTTCTAATAAACGTACATATTTTCCGTATGCTTGAATCCTTTATTAATTTATGCCAAAGTGCCTTATCCATGCATATCTCTCTGTTATCAGTGGTCACGTATTATCTTTTGCGTAACATTCCAGAGATAATAATGCTTCTGTCTATAAATGTTTATGTAAGATGATAAAAAGAAGAGAAGTTGACGTGGGTCGATACTTGAGTGTTTCGAGGATGCTGCAGAAAAGTAATATCGTTATATAATATACGATATTCGAAACAATTCTGAGATATACAAATTGTTCCTTGTGGCCAAAGGAATCGAACGAATATAATTATAACCTGCTAGGACTATTATTAAGGAAAATAGAAAAATAGCCCATTTCATGGACTAAAAAATTGCCGTCCATCTAGCGGCGAAAGTTGGAACTACAAAAATAGAAAATCTCGATTTTCTCGAAAACTAGGCACTTTTTCGAAATTCTGAGATATACAAATTGTTCCTTGTCGCCTACCGAATCGAACGAATCTAATTATAGCCCGCTAGGACTATTATTAAAGAAAATAGAAAAATAGACCATTTCATGGACTAAAAAATTGCCGTCCATCTAGCGGCGAAAGTTGGAACTACAAAAATAGAAAATCTCGATTTTCTCGAAAACTAGGCACTTTTCCGAAATTCTGAGATATACAAATTTTTCCTTGTCGTCTACGGAACCGAACGAATCTAATTATAGCCCGCTAGGACTATTATTAAAGAAAATAGAAAAATAGACCATTTCATGGACTAAAAAATTGCCGTCCATCTAGCGGCGAAAGTTGGAACTACAAAAATAGAAAATCTCGATTTTCTCGAAAACTAGGCACTTTTCCGAAATTCTGAGATATACAAATTTTTCCTTGTCGTCTACGGAACCGAACGAATCTAATTATAGCCCGCTAGGACCATTATTAAAGAAAATAAGAAAAATGTCATTTTATGGAGAAAATTTGTGGCGCCATCTAGCGGCGAAACTGCGAACCAAACTGAAAAAACGTATGTCTGAACACGATGTAAAGGGGTCAAATAGAAATGATTTTCTGGTCTTAATAGGCAAAAAAATGAATAACATATTCAACGAACATTGCTTTAAAATGTCTAAAGAAGCATATTACGTCGTAAAAGTGGCGAAATATTACTTTTCGTATTTTTCCTTAAGGCGTGTACGAGCATACGTTTTTTCAGTTTGGTTCGCAGTTTCGCCGCTAGATGGCGCCACAAATTTTCTCCATAAAATGACATTTTTCTTATTTTCTTTAATAATGGTCCTAGCGGGCTATAATTAGATTCGTTCGGTTCCGTAGACGACAAGGAAAAATTTGTATATCTCAGAATTTCGGAAAAGTGCCTAGTTTTCGAGAAAATCGAAATTTTAGTTTTTCGTAGTTCCGCCGCTCGCCGCTAGATGGCGCCACCTGTACCGTTTTCGACCGAATTCGACAAAAATTGATTTTCTGGCTTTATTAGGCATCAAAACGCATCAAACCCTAATAGAAATTTGTTTCTAAATGCCTCGGGAACCATACTACGTCGTCAAAGTGCCGAAATATTGCACTTTGCATGCGCAGTAGAATTGACACAGGTGGCTCATGTACGTATCGGAAGGCTGACACAAAATAATTAATTACGCGTTACCCGAACATTATTTATGAACTTTTATGATCGAATCATGTATATAATGCATTGCTGACCATTCTTCAATCATAAAAGTGCACAAAATATATCCAGAAAACCTGTAATTAATTATTCAAAGTGACCTCGTATATACCGCTTGTCACCGTGGCTGGCCTTAGGTTATTAGTTAATACCTAATTAATTTCATTAAAAATCTGAACAAATATGATATAGGAAAGTAGGTAATGAATAGGGGATCATTCTTTAGTCATAAAAGTTCATAAATTATACCCAGAAAGTGAGTAATTAATTTTTGTTGTGTATGTATATTGATGCGTATACGGAGTGACGCGATGCTATTGCGCATGCGCGCAGCTTCTTCTATTCCGCATACCTCCTTTACCTTTCTGCGATCCTGCTACTACAATTAGCTCCTGGTACCCGTCCGCTAGATGGCGCTAGTACAGAAAGCCGAAAATTTCCATTATCGTCCTTCTGCCACGCACCGCTAGATGACTAAGCTTTTTCAGGTCCATGAAATGCTTTTTATTTTCTATTTTAAGGCCTCTAACGCGCTATGTCTGCATTCTTTCGGTCTTGAAATTTTTGTTTCGCTGGTTCCGCCGTTAGGTGTCGGTAAAGGGAATTTTTTCAAAGTTCGCGCGCGAATATAAGGAAATGTTCGAAAGCGAAGCTTGTAAAGTACTTTGAAAAGTGTCTAGAAGACAGATACGAGCTGTAAAAGATGTAGTTATTGTACGCGGTTATGTCTTCTTCGCGAAGATATTTGTTGGTGATCGATCGAGTGGAATCATTGGGAAAAGAAAGAGTATATAAACGTATTTTTTTCATTGAATTACTTTTTAATTTAAAATATATAAACTGTACATATATTTATAAGTAGTATATTCATATATTTTCTTCGGGTTTATTCATACGTTTTTATATAATAGTTGTGAGCATGATAAATTAATAATGAGTGTAACAGATTTTTACACGTGGCAGTTTAGTCGAACGAGAACATTCACTTTTGTTCGAAAACTCGATGAAACTTCCCGTAGGTTCGCGCTCAGTTTTTCCCGTTTGCTTATACTTAAATATGCTATTCAGTCCTTTGTCAAAAATACAAAATAACAACGTAATGCACGTTTTAACGAAAAAATTGCGTGAAACGAGAGACGCGAAGTTGCGAAGGAATCCGTTTCGCGATCGCGCGAAAAGTTGGCAGTATTGTTTCGTGGATGCGAATTTAAAAAGAAACGAGGATCTTTCTTTCTTTCTCTCTCGAACGGAACATTCGAACAAGGCGTAAAGTAGCGTGTAGAAACGTAAAACGAATCGATCGATTTAACGCGATTCGAATGAACGCGATATTTAATTGTTTTCTATTCTCGCTTAACCGCTTATCGACGACTTAGGCGCTAAAGGAGATTTACCGGGATTGTCCCGACTGTACAGTGTTTTTTAGTCGTCCCTTTTTTATAAATAATTCTTATAAATTATAAATTAACCTAGGTTTCCGACTCGACCTACAAGTCATACAATATACATAATATTCGCTTATGGTAATCGATCTTTAATACTGCGGGTTTCGTGTACCCTTGCCCGGTATCGATGATATCGCGTATCCTTGGCCGCGGTATCGTTCGCTCGAAAGTCGTTGATCGTTCGGTGACGCAGATTTTTGGTCGATGGGTTTCGTCGTTTCCAAAACATTCGATTAATTGTAACTACGAGTTCAAAGAGAACGTGAACTTATCGCTCTAGTAGAGAGGTAAGTTTCAGCTGCCCTGGTACGGCATCTGATCCGGTACGGCGGACGAATGATTCTGAGTAGGACTCTGATGGAAATGAGGATTGCTGCCGTCTTGCGACAAGTCTCCGACGGCTGGTTCTTCGTACTTTCCTCTCTTGAAACGGCCGTACAGAGAAGAATACGGTAGATTGTAGTGAATAGCCGCCTGATTGATGCTCATGTGTCCTAATCTGAGACAAACGTAAACGAATGAGAGATCGTATATTAACCGCGTCGCGAGACCGATGATCGTCGCTCCCGTACGGTCTCGATATAGGGGCAGTTGTATAAAATAGAGAAAAATTTACCTGACCGCCTCGAGAGCTTCGGTCATAGCGTCTTCGCTCCAGGGTGTAGGGTTACTCCTGCTGAGTTCGATGCCCTCTCTCTTGCATCTGCCGTACAAGGTTCCCGTCGGTATACCGAATTCGGTGGATGCCCTTTGCACGGACGTTTGGCCGGATCTTATCGCCTCGAGCGCCCGATCGAGATCGGCGGGTGACCAAGTGGTGGGACTCGCGTTGAAAGGCGCAGCCAGCCGAATGCCTTCCCTTCTGGCGATTTTGTACAAGGTGCTGGAAGGTATCCCGAACGCCTTCGACGCTTTGTTGGCCGAGATCGTTCCGGTTCGCAGAGCCTCGAGCGCGTTATTCAAACTCTCGTCGCTCCAAGACTTGGTCGGCCCGTCCTTTTTCGGCGTGTCTATACCTAGTCGATGCGCTCTTTGCCACAACGTCGTCGAAGGTATACCGAATGTCGCTAAAACGATCCGAACAACCGGCTATATAGAAAGAACACTTACGAGAATCTTACGAGATTAATATTCGCTTTCTAAAGAGCAAACAAGTTCGCGTCGTTTAATTACCGGAGGCCTTCGTGAGACTCATGTCGTGATTTCGCAGCGCTTCCAGAGCGGCGTCCATGTCCTCTTGAGTCCACGACTTGGAACCGTGATGGTGGGAGGTAGACTGTCCGGAATGACCCCTCGAGTTATTTTCGCCGGAATCCGAGTGAACGGAGCTTCCGGAAGGCATTAAACCGAGCAGTTCCGGCGTGATCATCATCATGTTGTCGTTGTCGGTCGCGTTCTTCGAACTGACGCTCGCCCGATCGGACATGTGGCTGTCGATGTCGATCGTGTCCGACGAATCCATCGTGTGCAACGTTTCGAACTTGATCTTTACACTGTCACAGTTTTGGATCTCTGCGAAGAGAAACGGAAAATTGGACTACCTGGCTATCGCGCGAAAGGAGCGCGCCGTGGAAGCGGAACAAAGTTGGATGCGTTCGCTAAACGAGGTTGCGTGGGCTGTTACGAACCGAGCAACGCAAATCTAATCGCGACTAGTTAAGCTCGATTAGACCAATTATTTTGATTCCCTCTCGGTCTAATGGTCGGCTACGGTTTTATTCTCTTTTACGAATCGCGCCGTTCCGATCGAACGCGTCTTCCCAATTCCGACTAAGATCGCGCACGTACACGCACACGCACACAAACACACACCTGTGGCATGATGATCCGGATCTCTGAGATGCGTGATCGTGGTTCCGACTAAGGTGGCGCTAGGCGGCGTAGGTTGGGTCTCTGGAGGCAGATCGACCTCTCCAGGATCCGGATGGTGACCATAATGACCGAGTCCTGTATGACAGAACATGTCACCTTTTTACTTAAAGTGAAAACCGGCTGTTCCGCGTAATCGTAAATTGACCCACGCCTAGACCCCTTTCTTGCT